TTGAACTGCATGTTACGTTATATTCTGTTTTTCATTCTCTATTTTTAGCCATTATCATCATGAAATAAATAAATATCAAAAGAGAAAAAATAAAAGAGATAAAATAATAAACAATAATTCAAATCATTCTCCAATTCTCAGTTTACTTGATAATTTCGGTGCTGGTTTATATTATACTACAACGAAATTGGTAACTATTACCGGTCAATTGGCAGAAGTTACTGATTGTTGGTCTACTTGGTGTCATGATGTTTCATGTAAAGAATTTCAATTGACTGCTTCAAATGCTTGTACACACATGCTGTCTGAAGATTTCTTAGTACAGGTTGTGAAACTGTTTTTTTTTATTTCCAGTATATCATAATTTTAGTTGTTCAGTAATCATTGAATTCTAATTATGTTTTCAAATTGAGTAAATAGCACAAGTAATCACAGATTGTAAGGGGAAAATCTTAGTTGAATACTGTATGCAGAGACTTATTCACAGTTGATAGGTATTTCAAATATCAGTCTATATTTATGATACCGAACAATAAAGATGATACATCCCAGAAAACCATAAATTTTCTTGAAGTTTCTCCATTCTCCAGTAAATATATACTCTGATTATAGTGTATAGATCAGTATTTATTTTATCTGGAGATGACGTTTGTCAATTTCAATTCGATTAAACTTATAACCGTGATGGTAGATAAATCACTAGTCTAATTCACTTTTGTCAATAATAATAAAAAAGGTATAGTCGGTTTTCACATTTTGTTCTTACTTTGTTTTGAAATGCAAATTTTGAAGTTATTCGTAAATAATTTTTATGAAATTTCACACCTTAACTCTGATATCTACAGAAATATATGTGAATAATTACATCTATGTGTTATATTCAACAAGTTTGTTATTGTGCTTCTTTTCTAGTATCCTGTACTAAAACCACCTAATTGTGCCTTTGAAGAGATTAGTAACGTTTACGAGAAAAGTTTCAATCGAATTGCAGCTGGTCTTCGTGTAAAATTGTCTTTTCTTCAAAATATAACAACTGAATTAGCCGTGTATCAGTCTAGAGCTCATGAAATAATATCTGTTCACAATTCAAATTCTTCACCTTAATGAAGTAATGTTTCAACCTGGCCAATATCCTTTGTTTTTAGCGAAATTCTTTCCATATCGGATGTGTCTTGTTGCTGAAACTGTGCATTTGTAATCTGTGACTTGTAATTTTTCTAACAGTTGTATTGATTTTAATAGTAGTATGCTGGAGAAAAAAAAGAACAGAACTGAAAATATACTTATTTTTAGGTTACTATTGTTTGTCTTTTTTGTCACTCACTCTTCCGAACGTATTTTTGTTTGATTTTTGCTGAGGCTTGTCAAATTTAATTTGCATTTGTTAACTATATTTTCCTACAATTTATTTATTTGAACACATAAATATTGGTACAAAGAGGGAACCAGATACATATGCGCCACACAAAATTTATTAGACTTATGTGAGGGCTGTGATACTGCCCAGGTGCACAAACCGAAGCAATATTTTTCTACAAACCAGTATACTGTTATTTTGTATAATACCTAGGCTTGTAATTGAAATAATATTTTCTAGAATCACAAGCACAGCATTGTTTACGTACAATTATTTTCCTAAACTTCACAACAAGTCCGATAAAAGTTTAAAATGTTTCATCATTTTTACTATTTATGTGATTTGATTACTTGGTTAAGGTGCATAACTTTGAGGTCAACGACCAGAATAGATTGTGAAAATTGCTTGGCAATAACGGTTTAGGAAAATGTTAACTCATACTATAGAAAGCCTATAAATGCTTGTATAATTATTCATTCCTCTGTCACCGAAATCAGAAATAATAATGTGAATCGATGTGCGAATATTTATTTGTATATTTGATTTTAAACTAAAATTCAATTCTCAGAATTAAAATAATGGAAATAGCACGTTTCATCAAGATTTCATAGCATTCAGTTATTTCGTACTGGTGTATTTTATAGTTTAAATTCAATATATAACCTATAAAGTTTCTTCAAAAATGAATTGCACATTAAAACTCCTTGTGAATACTTCAGTTTTGCTGTCACTTTAGTTCCAAAGGTTTCACTTCCCTTACTAGCCATCATTCGTTTGTTTATATTGATATTGTCTTCATAGTACCTTAGCAATGCTATGTACCTTTAAATTGCACCAATTAATAAACCTAAAGAACCAAGCCTTTAAATTAATCAGCCATTTGTAAAAATTCGATGTTTTATTTCAAGTTCTGTAGCTCTGTAAATAAATTAGTAAACCAGGGTTGCATCTTAATCCTACTTGAATTTATTATCTTGTGACGTGTCGTTGCGATGATGTGTATAACTAAAGTTAGCAGACTTTTGTCTATGTTCTAGCTGTTATCATCATGTAATAAATAAATATCACCATGACAGTTCCGTTAATCTCCAGAGAACATCTTTTGTCACATCCTTATTATATATGATTTTATTATACGCGCAGTAAATCACTTTAATTTTCTGTAACTGACACTAAGATTGCTATGATTTCTTTGATAGTTTTCCTATTTTCTTTTGATATTCAGGATGTCCTTTTAAGTAAATTATTACACAATTGACTTCTGAAGAAGAAAGAGAAATGGAAACATTGACAGCCGCTTCTACCTCAAAGTCAAATATGCCTAAAACCAACCCTGATAAACCAAATCAACCCAACACATCCGAGACCACTGATACTAATGGCACAACGGGATCTTTTGAGTGTAACATATGTCTTGATTCAGCTCAAGATGCTGTAGTTAGCATGTGCGGCCATTTATTTTGTTGGCCATGTCTTCATCGTTGGCTTGAAACTGCTGAAACTCGCACTGTATGCCCTGTTTGCAAGGCTGCTATCAGTAGTGATAAAGTTAGTTCTGTTTTTCTATTGTAGTAACTTCTTGAAAGAAATTTTCTTATCTATTGAAATCAGTATTTTATACGATAGGGAATTTCGCCTGTACTATGATCTTCAAAGTCGTTTATATTCTTAAGATCTACTCATTCTTATGTTTGGTAGTCTACTTTTTTCACAATATGTATTTATTGATGCTTCATGTTAGTTAGTGTAAATAACCATATAAAAAACGACACTGAAATTAATCTTGTTATTTTAGTTTTACTTTCTCAACCGTATTCCTTTGTATAAATATTTTGGAATGGATAGCCTCATTATCTTTTTCTCTCACTCATTCATTCTATTGGTTCTTCTGTTTATTTCCAAATTGTTTGGTGTTTTCACCTATTTTAATTTAAGCTTCAGAATAGCTTGAATATTGCTTTTAATAGTCTACTAAGCTGATAAAATTATAACACGACATGGGCCCGTCCATATAAATTAATTTCACACTTAGAATCAAACTACTATTACATTTTTCAGTAGCAGAATTTTACCTTCACATTGCACAATCATCGAAAAGTCTTTACAAACTAAGTAAATATTTTTAAATAATTCCAGTCACAAATAATATTCAAATTTCTACCTATAATGTGAGTCCGGCATCGTTTGGATAAAAATGCATGATAACCAAATTCAGGTAACTTATATTCATCCATGTCCGCAACCAACACTAATCGTTTACATTCAATGAATCGAATGAATCGAAATAGGTTGAAAATCCCCGAACAGTTAGTAATTTGTCATCTTCGGAAAAAAATCTTGTGTAACATTTCCGCGATCTTAATTGTGATTTCTAATTTCTCACTCCGTACTTCTGAGCTTTACTCGATAAGTCTACATTTTCTTGGTTTTATTTAATCTTTGCCACGTATCTTCGATTTCAAAAGAAAATCGTTTCCATAATCTTTTCACACTTAATTTAAACAAGCTAGCGTTTAGAGAATTCCTAATTTTCTCGCAATTAATTTCCCTTATTATTCTATATCTACATGTCAATCTCAGTTTTATTCAATACGTTTCTACTATAGAGAGTGTATACTTATTTCGTTTTCAAAATCTGTATGTTGCAAGCCACTGAGTAAAATACATGATCCTTGTTCTTACTTTATTCAAATAACTTCAAGTAATTTCCGTAATCAGATTACAATATTTTTACTCAATTTCCTTCGTTAGGTCATCCCCCTTTATGGTCGTGGTGCTGACCATACACAAGACCCTCGTACTAAAATTCCTCCCCGCCCACCTGGTCGACGTACTGAACCAGAACCGGGGTCGGGCAGCTTCGGAAGTACATGGGGAGGATTATTCGGTGGATCTGATGGAGGTAATTTCCGAATGTCTGTCGGCATCGGTGCATTTCCATTCGGTTTCTTGTCAACAACATTCAATTTAGGAGGTAATAGCCATCCCGCAAATTCACACGATGGTAATGGCATCAACAACCGAACAATACCACCAGACAATTTTTGGGGAGCTGATTCAGAAACAATGTCAAAAATATGTTTATTTATTGCTATATTTTTTATTGCTTGGTTATTAATTGCGTGAATAATTTTCCATATTAACGTGATAAGCTACTTAATTTCTACTGTCGCTTCTTGCTTAATTTATAATTTATTTTGAGCACTTTCTTTCATAATAAAAAGCGATATTTTCAATTTTAATGACTGTTTACTAGTTAATTAAATATAATTTGAGTGATTTTTCATTTCTGTTAACTGTTACTGGATTAGATTCAACTTAATACCGAGTTTTATTCATGTACCCTGCCGCGTTATGTATGCCTCATGAATATAATTCTTCAAAAAATCCTTGTCGTCACTGTTAGTATATAGTGTTTCTTAAACTTTTACTTTTGTTTTTGTTGAGATTTCATTTCTATTCTCAGCCTTATTTCTTGTCCCGTTTATGTATTTCTTTTGCATATAATATGATGGTTGATATACTAGATTATTAGTCAAATGTTACTGTATGTAATCGTATATATAATTCAATATTTCTTTATTATACTCATTAATTTTGTAAAATAAAGATTTCATGTGTTTGATAGAAAACAATTATATTGTATGATTTGTGCATTATATTATCAATGGTTAATTAACGGAGTTTCAGTTAATCTTAACAATATTTGGATCATATTCGACTTGAATATGTTATAAATACGTTTATATTTATTGCATTACATACAAGTATGATGAGAGATTTCACTTGAAACTAAACTACATAGAGTAACAATTTAAATTCTGTTGGAACTCTTCATCAGTTCATCACGTATTACTAATTACGTTTTATTGATAACTTTTTTGTGAGTACTAATGATTGGTTATAGCATTAGACTTATTCAGTACCTACTAAATGGTATTTTCTATTTATATAAAACAAGTGTAATTGTATGCTGATTTCTGTGATGTTTATAGTTTGTATATCACGATGTGTTAATAAACTATTCCATATGACCAATTCTTCTTGTCTGAATGCTCTTTTCTATGGCTCATCACTTTTAAAACTTACTATGACAACAGGTAGAATAAATTTGCACCTGTAGCATACAAAATACCCTCATTATACAGAGATTCGCCTTATGCTTTCAGATATATATCTTGAACTCCGTTTTCATTGTATTGCCGATTTCAAGTCATGGACTGTTAGATTACTCCATGTTGTTTTTAGGTCTAGACTGACTACCTGGCTGAGGTTCATATGATAATCATTATCAGTGGTTGGATAAGTGGTGTAATATGTCTCAAAATCATCCGTAGCAGCGTGATGCATGTATTCCTTATTTACCCACAGATCCTGAGTTTCAGAATTACTTTATTCCGCGAATTCGCCCTTTCTCGGATTATGCTCTATATCTTATCTTTTTTATTTTGGTACTACTAACTCCACCTCTTCGTCATTCATGTTGTAAGTTTCGTCTCGCTGTACAGATGTGGTATGACAACTTGAACCGATCCACATATGTGACAGGTTCTATGTTCCTTACGACTGACTGGTAAAAAACCGACATACCTTGAGAAAGTGTGTTATGGAGAAGGATATGTTTCTATGTATCGATGATAGTGATAGAATGTGGAGTCTTTAGAACGTCTTGAGTGACGATAGAGAAATATTTCTGATGCGTTTTTCTTTTCAAATGTAATTGTCTGTTTCATATCTTACTGCAAGTACTTATTCTGACTATAGGCAAAGAGCTGGAGGAATATCTTAATTATTCGACTTAGAAAATCTCAGCTCTGGAGAGTTAGTAAAATGTCATTTTATATATCTAAAAACCGAAGTCACAAAGTGTTCCAGAATCAAGTAGTGATATCACTTATGGGAGTCCCTGAGAACTTGAAAGTTTTTAGAAGCTGGGAAAAGTGGGAAAATACTTCATCCAGTCAGGATTAGACAGAATATTCCTAGGGTTTTTGAAAAACTATGGATCGTCGTATTCCTTTTCGATGATTATTGGTTTTCACATGTTCCCGGTTTTTCGAACATCAAAATCAAATATAAATTTACAAATATCCCTTGTTTTCTGAATCTAAATTAGTCTTCAGTGCTTCTTATCGTATTTACTGTTTAAGGCTCAATTCTATCGGGCTTTCAATCATCTTTTAAATTGGTTAGGTTGGAAATTCAAGCCATTCAGTCAGAGACTAGGTTAGTCGAATACGTCTAGGCCTTAATCCATCAAAACCAACTCAGATAAAAATCTTGACCTCTGTTTCCAAAGTTTAGCATGAATGCGAATACTGTTCATATTTTTATGAGAGTTATGTATTCAGTGCTTAAGCAAAAAATGGCAATTGATGAAACACCCTTACATATTTCACCTCTTTATTTAATTAACCTCACTGTATAATGCTGAATTTCCCAGTTAGTTGGATGAATTTTTAACAGATTGAATCTTTGGTTCAACATTAATATTCTGATAGTTTGATTTCCAGCCCCATTGGCGTAAATACATTATGAATAAGTGTACCAAATTTAGTCCTACCATACATATTAAGACATAGGTAGCCGTTCAGTCAACAAATAAATTGTACTTTTCGAAAGAAAACTAAAGATTACTACTTGAAGAATATCGTGGTTCACCTGGTTACGTTTGTACTGTAGTAATGAGTTTTTTAACAAAGATTCCGATTTCATTATCCGTTCTTTCCAAGATGAATTTAACGTTGCCGAAGTCTCATAAAATTGCAACTAGGTCCTGCATAACAGTAAAACGTTTGTCAAACTAACAAACAGCTCAAATAATGAAGTCTAAACATTTAAGTCCTATATTGTTATTCGTAATCAAAACCGAATTGAGGTAAATCTTGGTTAAAATACTATTTTGTACATCCTGTATCTGTTAAGTATTTTAATTAAATCGACATTGTCCATGCGTGTTTGTTTCCTGTTACGGTTTAATACTGTTTCAACAAGTAAATCCCATTGGTATTTCAAGATGACGTTAACTATGTAAGGCTAATTTCTTTACCACTGACCTGATATGGTTTCTAATTTATTTCTAGACCCATGGTGCGTATCAAAAATCGATACCTCGTTTGCTTCATTTCGATCCAACCTCAAAATTTCAATTCATTTATACCGGGTTATCCTGGCTGCCAAAAGGAGGATACAGCGGCAATGCGCTTGAGCGAGTCTGATTTATTAGCTACGATAAAACAAAACATCATTCTTACACATGGTTCACTTGGAGTCGGTAAATGTATGTCTCGCTTAAGAGTAATTCACTGGTGTCCTGCTTCCGGTTTATTGATTATACGTTGTCTTCGTAGCATGTCTGTTTACATCCAAACAGCACTCTCTTTGGTTACTCACTTAGATCTAAGTAAGTTTAAAGAGCTATTTTACTTTGAATATATATATATATATATCACCAGAGTAGGCTTAAAGTGAGAGCTAACTATTTTCAAACTTTGTATGACCGATGCTTCAATTAACCTTACTATTCACCTCTGGGGACTTAAAAACTATCCCAAAAGGCTGTGATATCAACGTCATGGCCCATCTCAACTAAGCATTTATTAAGTTAAGGATTGCACACGGAGCTAATTATCATTTGGACTGTCCACAGTAGTATTAGAGAAAACTGTTTAGAATGGTCGCACCATACCTCGATTTAAAAGTAATAACCGGTTCAGAGTAAATTATAAACATAAAGATAAGGTACGACAATCCAGCTAAAAGTGAGAAATTAAATTCAACCTTCGATCGTCGTATCCTTCTTATCAACTGATAAGGAGTTAGTTGATTTACTTACCGAGTGGTGTATGAAATATGTTTTAAGCATGGTTATGCTTTGTAGATACACAAGTACCTGCCCGTTTTTTTACAAAGCACGAAAAGAATTTCAGCAAACACTATTTAATTTATCAAGCTCTGATTACAACTTTAGTTACAGATCATTTCATGACACTATCGTCAAACTTGCATTTTGAGGTATGTAACAAAACCACTTTCGAAAATGGTAAACTTTTGGATCGTAAGATTTCTATTAGTTTTCATCCTTACATTTGTTAATTGAAGATTAATTTATGCAGTCCCTCAGTTCTTTTTATTAAAAGCACTAAACAAGTATTACTATTTCTATAATGATGATCGATTTGAATAGCTAATTGCAAACAGAAAGGTGTAATTGTTTCATATTATGCCATGTGACATCAACTCTTTGAATCTTTAACAAGTATGTATTAAGATACAAAGTATGAGGCATCATACATACAATTCAATGTGCTACGATGGAAAATATGGTAAATCTTAACTAGAATCTATAAGTATTTTTCTTGATGCATGTATTTCATTGATAAACTGAGTCTGAGAAAAACAATATTTTATTTAAACTAGTTTATGCATAAATAAATAAGATATTGAACTACACTTTAATTTATTTAATAAACAGATGGACAAAAAAGAAAATCGGTAATTGACATCTATCATACAAGCGGTACAGTCAGAGGCTGTCAAAAATTCCTAGTCATGTTTTACTCTCATCATTTATTCTCAAGACCAGAACAAGTATTTCGAACAGCCTTGTCGATTGCCGTTGAACGAAATATGATTTCTCCATATCCACCATATATCAATGAAGAATCTTAATTCTCCATTTATTTAATAAACTACATAGTATTATAATAAAAGTCTTATCTGTTACCTAGTGTATGTATGTATCAAACGAAATTTAACTCCACAAAAAACAGCTTAGAAGTAGTTTTATTTTTAAAATATAGACTTGAAATGTAGACTAACTTGAACGAGATTCAAATAAAATCATAGTTGACACTTTAGAAAAGGAAATGCTGGTTGGTTACGATGAATAGTGGTACAGACTGAAATTTAAAAGCTGTCATTGAAAAAAGCTACCATCAGTAAACCCATCCAAGATGATGAGCAGATTCAAATATTAATAATAGCAGTACCTTTATCTCGGTAAATACTGGTTCATATCACTAGACAATAGGCTTTACGTGATGTGTACTACAAACGAGAAGATTTGAGACAAGTGACAACAGAATCCAGCAAATTTTCATTTCGTGAGTACTTTAATTTCCAGCGAAACAATCAATTTTATAAACTGATAGATACTACAAACTCCGCCTGTAGCTTCTCCAGGGGTTACTGCCGGTCCCAAGCCCGGGTAAAGGAGGAGGGTTGGGCATGGGGTTAGCGACCCCATCCCGTAGAAAATCAACTCGCTAAAAAAACGCTAACCAGAAAAAATCATTCAAACCATTCAAACTCTGCCCTGGGAGTAGAAGGAAAAATGACGTCTCATGATGAAAGCCGAGTTCATTCGGAAGTCATGAGGCCGATGCACCTTCTTACAACCAGAGCGACAATTTTTATAGGTACATGGAATGTCCGGACAATGTGGGAGACCGGAAGAGTCTTCCAAATTTCTGCGGAAATGAGGAAATACAACCTGGAAGTGCTTGGAATCAGTGAAACACATTGGACGCAGGTTGGACAACAACGACTGTCTTCAGGGGAACTTCTGTTACACTCCGGTCATGAAGAAGAAAATGCCCCACATACACAAGGAGTTGCATTGATGCTGTCTAGAAAAGCACAAAATGCACTTATAGGATGGGAATCTCATGGACCGAGGATCATCAAAGCCTCCTTCAGAACAAAGAGAGAGGGCATTACAATGAACATCATCCAATGCTATGCGCCAACCAACGACTACGATGAAGACGCTAAAAACCAATTCTACGATAGGCTGCAGTCAATCTTCGAAAAGTGCCCAACCAAGGACCTGACCATTCTAATGGGAGATTTCAATGCAAAGGTTGGAAAGGACAACACTGGATACGAAGACGTCATGGGACAACATGGACTGGGAGAAAGGAACGAAAATGGTGAGAGATTTGCAAACCTATGTGCCTTCAATAAACTGGTCATAGGTGGCACCATATTCCCACACAAAAACATACACAAAGCCACTTGGATTTCACCGGATCACATTACACAGAATCAAATCGACCATATCTGCATCAACAAAACGTTCAGGAGGACGATGGAGGATGTGAGAACCAGAAGAGGAGCTGATATAGCATCCGATCACCATTTGCTGGTCGCCAAGATGAAACTAAAACTCAAGAAGCACTGGACAATGGCGCGGACAACATCACAAAAGTTTAACACGGCCTTTCTTCGAGATGCTGACAAACTCAACGAATTTAACATAGCCCTCAGCAACAGGTTCGAGGCCTTTCATGACCTACTCAATGGAGAGGGAACCAGCATAGAGAGCAGCTGGAAAGGTATCAAGGAGGCAATCGTTTCAACATGTCAGGAGGTTCTGGGCCAAAAGAAGCACCATCACAAGGAATGGATCACTGTTGGTACACTGGATAAAATTGAAGCAAGGAGGAACAAGAAGGTAGCAATCAATATCAGCCGAACAAGAGCAGAAAAAGCCAAGGCACAAGCCGAATACACAGAGGCAAACAAGCAAGTGAAGAGGAGCATCAGGACCGACAAACGTAAATATGTGGAAGATTTAGCGATGACAGCGGAAAAGGCTGCAAGAGAGGGAAACATGAGACAACTGTATGATACAACAAAGAAACTTGCTGGAAATTACCGTCAACCAGAAAGACCAGTGAAAAACAAGGGAGGCAAAGTAATCAACGATATTGAAGAACAACGAAACAGGTGGGTAGAACACTTCAAGGAACTCTTGAATCGACCAGCTCCACTGAACCCACCCAACATCGAAGCAGCACCCACAGACCTCCCAATCGATATTGGCCCACCAACAATTGAAGAGATCAGCATGGCCATTAGACAAGTCAAGAGTGGCAAAGCAGCGGGACCAGACAACATCCCGGCAGAGGCACTGAAAGCAAATGTAGCAGCAACTGCCAAGATACTCCACATCCTCTTCGGTAAGATTTGGGACGAAGAACATGTACCAACAGACTGGAAAGAAGGACTTCTCATCAAGATACCAAAGAAAGGCGATCTGAGCAAGTGCGACAACTACAGGGGCATCACTCTCCTCTCAATACCAGGAAAAGTCTTCAACAGAGTATTGTTAAACAGGATGAAGGATTCCGTGGACGCTCAACTTCGAGATCAACAAGCTGGATTTCGTAAGGATAGATCGTGCACAGATCAAATCGCAACTCTACGTATCATTGTGGAACAATCAATCGAATGGAATTCATCACTGTACATCAACTTCATCGACTACGAGAAGGCATTTGATAGCGTGGACAGGACGACACTATGGAAGCTTCTTCGACACTACGGCGTGCCTGAGAAGATAGTCAACATCATACGGAACTCCTATGATGGCCTAAACTGCCAAATCGTCCACGGAGGACAACTCACCGACTCGTTCGAGGTAAAGACCGGTGTTAGGCAAGGTTGCCTACTCTCACCCTTTCTCTTTCTCCTGGTGATCGACTGGATTATGAAGACGTCAACATCTGGAGGAAAGCACGGGATACAGTGGACAGGCAGGATGCAGCTTGACGATTTAGACTTCGCGGATGATCTGGCTTATCTATCACAAACGCAACAACAAATGCAGGAGATGACGACCAGTGTAGCAGCAGCCTCAGCAGCAGTAGGTCTCAATATAAACAAAGGGAAAAGCAAGACTCTCCGATACAATACAATATGCACCAATCCAATTACACTTGACGGAGAAGCTTTGGAGGATGTGGAAATCTTTACATATCTGGGCAGCATCATTGATGAACACGGTGGATCAGATGCAGATGTGAGGGTGCGGATGGGCAAAGCAAGAGCAGCATACCTACAGCTGAAAAACATCTGGAGCTCAAAACAATTGTCAACCAACACCAAGGTTAGAATTTTCAATACAAATGTCAAGACAGTTCTTCTGTATGGGGCAGAGACGTGGAGAACTACGAAAGCCAGTATCCAGAAGATACAAGTGTTTATTAACAGCTGTCTACGAAAGATACTTCGGATCCGATGGCCAGACACTATCAGCAACAAGTTACTGTGGGAGACAACAAACCAGATTCCAGCGGAGGAAGAAATCAGGAAGAAGCGCTGGAAGTGGATTGGGCACACCTTGAGGAAATCAGCTTATTGCGTCACAAGACAAGCCCTCACATGGAATCCTGAAGGTCGAAGGAGAAGAGGAAGACCAAAGAACACATTACGCCGAGAAATAGAGACAGACATGAGGAGAATGAACAAGAACTGGAAAGAACTAGAAAAGAAGGCCCAGGACAGGGTGGGTTGGAGAAAGCTGGTCGGCGGCCTATGCTCCATTGGGAGTAACAGGCGAAAGTAAGTAAGTAAGTAAGTAAGATAGATACTACAGCTCTTTTCTACAACGTATCCAGTAAGTCCTAATTAATCTGAAGATTTACGTTTTTAAAAGGTAACAAATGGTACACATGATATCAGTTATGTATATAGGCACAAAACACAATACGTTACCGAACTATAAGATAATACTGTAAAACGATTAAAAGAAAACTGCGTTAAAGTGCTTGATATTATATATCGAAATTAAAAAGCATTTTGTATTCTCAAAATGAATAATGGTAACAATAAAAAAACATTGACAGGACAGTAGGGTGTAAAACGTTGAGTAGGTGTACATATATCAAGAAATACAAGGGGCGCTTCTATAAGAGATAATAAACTAAGTCTTCCTCACGTAAAATACTAGTTTAAATAATATCTGTAGAATTAAGAATGAAAAACAACTTATTGCTATATAGAAACAATTCATGAACAATAAAAGTGAGGTTGTTCAAAAAAAAACATTTACAAGTTAAAATATGAAATAGTTTTAGATAAGCATGCATAAACACAAACAAAACTAATTGTACAGAAAATTTCGTTGTGGACCAAAAAACCTGACAGGTAGATAAAAACACTGGATATTTGGCTTCACATAAACAATACGTTAGAGCATATGTTTACCAATAGAAAATTTATCTGAGCTTCATTTACAATTGTTTACACATCAAACGTGAACAATTCGTCAAGTTAGGGAAAAACGTATTCACTTGTTCCTGTAAATCAACATGCAAAAAATATAACGAAATAAATATGTGACACAGCCCTACATAGACACTCAAAGTTGTGAACCGAAATCACAGATTTAGTAAACAACAGGACACATTAACAGCAAGAGAATAGATATTATTTATGTATGTAGAACAAAGTTACAAGACAGTAAAAAAGTCGAAGCTAATGAAGCATAAAAATGAAGCTAATTATCTCACGGATTCGGAGTAATAAAAATACATGTTGGGGTGCCTGTAAGTAAACTAGTGGGAGAAATACCATCAGCTGTAGCTACAAATTCTGGCTGAAGATTAGCTTGTGCTGGATGGAAGCTGGCAGGGAGATCGGTACCTGAAACAGTTGTATTAGCGGGTAACTGGGTGGGAGTTATCATGGGAGCGAAAAATGCGCCAGCTTGGTTAGCATTCATGCCGTCCGGAGAACATGCTATGGCAGTGAAATAGGGAGAAGCTTGAGAATGGTGAAATCCGGAAGGATATGTTTGAACTGGTTGTGGAAAAAGTGAAGCACGGATAGTGTAACAATTCGGCATGGTCGGTGTCGTGATGCACGTCGATATCACATTGTTCATGGAAGTTCCATGCACACATTCTGTACTCATTTCATTTTGATGCTGTGATGGAATGGTAGATATTAACGCAAAGCTTGGTGAGACTGAAGAAACAGCTTGGTTCTGTGATACTACTATATTACCTTCATTTGAAGAATTAGAAATACAGCTCGGCAGTGGTGTGGATGACACTGTCAAAAAGTGACCATGAGGTTGTGTAGCAAATGTTCCACTGGCAAGATTAAAAGTGTTTGCAATCTCAGTGTTAACTTGACTCAAAATAGGAACTGCAGAGAGTGACATAGAGGGCAATGCTGCAAAGACTAATTGCGAGTGGGGTGATATGACACTGGAACCACCTAGACCTGTAGCACTAGGGAAAGCATGTAAAGTAAGCTGCCCGGGATGAGAATCACAAGTAGCGAGAAGTAATCTTTGTTCTGGGACAGGTTGATTAACACTGATTCCATCGTTAAGTAAACTTACTTTTTCCACACTTAGAGGATTAGACTGAAAAGTAGAGCTATCCGCCAGATCTTCTATTTTCAGTTTACGAGGATGTTTAGCTGTGTCGTAACACTTTGTCGCTTGTGGGACGCTACGTTTCTCACCACAGATTGTCTTAGAATCAGATGTTGAAGTTATTGGACTTTTAGTTACATTCACTTTCAAGTCACAGTTAGAAAGTTTTTGATTACTCTTTTGATGCACTTTTGTATGACGCTTACGTTCATCAGAACGAGCAAAACTGCGACCACATATATCGCAAACAAATGGTCGTTCACCAGTGTGCGTTCTCATGTGTGTAGTTAGATGATCTGAACGCGAAAATTCCCTTTGACATTCAGCACACTTAAAAGGTTTCGCACCAGTGTGAATTCTTGCATGTCTTGTAAGTTCATCGGATCGTGAGAAGCATTTGTTACATGAAGTGCATTTGTGAGGTTTTTCTGATATTCTTTCAGGTATACTAGATGTTATTCCTGCCTGGATTTCTATTTCAGAATGAACTCCATATTCTCCTCTAACTATTCGACTCTTATTACGAGTTGTCGATTTGCGCCTCCTTGAGACACCAGTTCCTTTCAGAGTGGATTTAGATAAATACTCACTATTACCAACGTCATCTTCAGTGACAACCGTTGTATCAGGTGCACACTCAGGAGGATTATTTATAACAGATTTATGTGTTGTATTAATCAGACCACTATCAACTGTTACTGTGTCAGTGAAGCACATATGTTCTTGCTTGACCATAGTATCCGCTGTAATAGAAGTCTGTGCGAAACTCGAACCGATGGAAATATTAGTTGCTTCCACATTACTACTTGCCAATAAGTTAGAAACGGGGGATAGAAATGAAAAAGTACCTGTCGGATTACCTAGGCCAGTTAACACCCCAGGTGTATAAAAACCTCCGGGACCAGGGGATGCCAGAAGTGGTAAGAAAGCAGTGTTTGGAGTTGTAGGAGTTATAATACCACTGCTGTTCTCAGCAGTCAACAATGTGGTTAGTGTTAGGCCGTTTCCAAGAACAAGTGGGGCTGGTATGTAAGGAGGCTGATTCCTAGTTGAAAAAGCTATTCCCGGAACCGGATTAGTGTCTGCCGAAACAGATAAACAAGGATTTTGTGTAAGACCAACATTACTAAGAACAACAGCACTAGATATCGTCGGTAGACTGGCGGTTGTAGCAGTAGATCTATTGGCCAGGTAGGTCGAATGTGAAACAGCCGTCTGGTCAACAGTGATGCATGTGCTTTCAAGATTTGATAATGCATTAGTTAAGAGTGGCAAATCATTCAGTCCAACTGTAGCATTATTATCACCTTTAGTAATAACCGACTGAAAAGATGCTGTCGTATCACCTGATTCCAATTTCAATGAAACAGGCACAGAATCGATTTTTGCTGTTGTACTGTCAGGAGAAAGATGGTTTAAATATAACACAGACGATCCAGTTGATGTGTTAACTTCAGATCGTTGATTTAATCCAAATTGAGGTATGAACAAGTTTTCTGTTTGTAAAATCTCAGGATTTCCATGTAGAACACCAGGTTTCTCGGTATTATCTGTTATTAAAAATAAAAAGCTAGTGTTTATTTACCATTCATATATCCTCACAAAATAAATCTCTTAGAATATTTATCAACCTATACCAAAAAACCCTGAATGATAAAAAAAACTTACTACTTGTAACATCCACGACAAACAATTTAAAGAATTACAACGCAGTAGTTGCTACCTCACTGGCAACTTGTTGGATTTTAACTTATACTTCTCTCAAACCAACGTCATCATTTTCACAACTTTGAAACCAAAGGGATTCATGAGTGGATATCACTATTAAATTACCCAAGACCTTTCACTTTTACTTCCAATTGCAGCTGCTGCAGAACAGTTGAGGTTGGAACTGAAATTGAGTGGGAATGAAGTTAGCACTGAAAACACATCAACCCACGAATTTCTGGTGCTGAAAGTAATGTGATAATGGTTCCAGAAACCATTCACAAAAATGTTACGCGTAAGCAAACTTAAGCAGCTGTCCCACAGGCTCTGTGGTCACGCTCCAAAGTAATATTATCACTAAACTGGTCTCTATTTACGTTCGTCAAAAAGTATCTTTCTGGGATGTGGATAATTGGGAAGCGGTACACCTCTATCAGCACATAAACTTATATTGTTCATAGAATGATGCCATGTTTTTGCACGTTTATAAATTTCGTCAGCCTGGTTCCATACCAGATAACATTCAACATCGGGATTATAGATAATTAAGTATATTTAACATACATTTTGACCACCTCAGTCGGTGCAGGTTTACAGGCTCATTGATGGACTTGTTCTTTTTTCCCAGTACCTTCCATATAAACCCAACACCACTCACTTGGTGGTTCTCAAAGTGAAAGAGAGCTTTGAATGCATATGTGGTCAAGTACGTGGAACCTATGTGTGTCTTCTACTTTCAATGGTGATCGTTATTAGCCATATATTAATACGGAGGAAAATGACGGGCAGAAATTCTACTTATGGAGCAGGTGTGACAGCTGGTGAGATCACTGTATCCGTATCAAAGCTTTTTCAAGCACTAAACTAACAGCGCTGATCATATTTTCATCTTGTCAGTGTTTTTTATCAAACTATGTTATATGCGTATTCTAAGTCAATAATTGAATCTAGTAGACATACCAGAAAAGTCAAAGAAAGAGTTACCTCTTAAAGAATGTCTGTCATGATCAAATAAAAGTGGGGAAAGTTGGTAACTGTTGAACGTAACTTGAGGTCAACAACTCCGATGAAAGTTTGTCATATGTTTTGTCTCAAACGGTGGTTTTCGAATGAAAATTCTTCACAAGTTCTAAGTACTTATTTGGTATGCCTTTCAATGACAGACGTTGCCACAGAACAATATTCAGGCATTGGTAGGCATATATGCTCCAAAATTAGACGAAGAGTGAATATTTGATCAATGATTGAGAAATAGTAGCACACTAATTACTCTGCAGTTATAACAAGATTTATTTCTTTTCTTAAGAACTCAGACGATCGGTGACGGAATCATGTCTAGCTCCAAGACTCTTGCTAATATCTCAACCTTAATGCTAAAACTTGACCACTATTCTTGAAAACCCATCAGGATCAGCTGCTCTTCCTTACCTTAAGTTAGTTATAGTTTTCAAAATTGCTTGGTACCGATCTCCCACTCAGGCTGTTGGCGAGTAGGATAACTGGAGAGGAGTTGGAGACAGAATGAATGTTCTACGTACTGTTTCGAAATTCTAGTATGAGAAAAAATCAAAGTTTCTGTTTTTATTATATACGATCTCACTAAAAGCTGGGTTTACATTCCATCGTTAATCAGTCTGCACGGTTACCTGTTGTTACATCGAACTGCCTTTGTCAATATCCTTTGCTTTCATACCCTAGAACTGCTTTTTGTAAGTTTACATGTATTTAGTTTGCTTATGATCGTGTTCAGAGCCCATCAAGACGAGTTTACGACAATATATTGATTTACTGGAAGGTATCAAGACTAACTGGCCTTTCTCGAACTTTTGGTCTGAATGACTGCTGACATCTTCGTTATTTACACAGGAGACTAAAAATTGTAATGGCTTACAAGATGAGTGTTCTTTACATGGCTGACCGAGTCCCTAAATAACCTGGTACGACCGAGAGTGGAGAGAGTCCGCTCTCCCTCTCGAAATACTCTCACACGGCCACGCGTATAAAGCCTCTGCCAGGGAAGTACTACTCACTGCCTTCTCGTGTCACCGGTGTTGTTTACGAAATTGAGAAAACGAAAAGCGAATGTCCGGTGCTTTAACCGGGTCGGTGGACACGGAAAGTCCACCTAGAGGAGTTGGAAAACCTTGATTCCAAACCAATAGTGTACATGGTCTGCAGTATCCTGAGGGAACTTTTGGTCACCGGCTACGGTGGGACTACATCTCCTTACGTTACTCCACTGCCTTGTGGATCAGACCTTTAGGTCAAAGGCACCGGGTGTGGCCCCTTAAGAAAACCACCTGTTTCAGTTTGGGCACCCCAGCAGTATCACAGCCCTCACACTAGTCGAATGATTTGTGGTGCATATGTATTCGGTGCTCCACTGTACCAATGTTTATGTGTTTAAATAAATAATAAAATAAAGTCCTTATTTAGTTTTGTTGTAAACCTACGACTTTTTTTATCTTCGAAACAAACTTTGACAAGTCTTTTTATTGGACGTTTCTAGGGTCCAATAAAACATAGACAAACGTAACCGCACTAAATGTGACCGAAGTATCCTCAAGGAGAAGCAGTAGTCTACAATAGATTATCTTGAAGAACAATAGTAAGACTTCCTTTACTTTCTTGAACTACAGTTTTATCTATATGTCATACTATTATTAACAGTTCGAGTTCATGAAATACCATTATTGTCCTCTTAAACAAAACCCAATTAACTCAAATTATAATGAAGCAAAGGATAAGCTCTAAAGAAAGCTTTCTGACCTACTGTAAAGAAGATGTGAAGAAGAAGAAGCTCAGATAGTCACACCCGAAATACACTTGGGTGAATTTTTTAGTGTACCAATCCGATGAACAAATACTGATGACCGTAATCTAAGGTCGGAAAACCTATAATTTCTAGTGTATTAACTGTAAGGATAAGAAGTGATAATGCCTAGCCTGGGGACTCCAACATCAAGACAATAGACATTAATACACCATATTGACACCAAACACAGTACATGCTGCAGTTATACAAGACAATAACCAAAATTAAAAGGTTAAGAAAGACCTATGTATTTCGGAAGCTTTTATTAAACTGCTAAGTAGTCTGAAACTCATCTTACCACGTTCAGAGTATGATGAGTGAAAGAACACAAATACAGACTGACGAAGGATTTACATGGTATGAGAAGTAGTGCCCAAAGGAAGCAATAGAGAATAGACAGTGGTGGTATCAAATACTAAACACATTTATTTCTCCCCCTCCAAGTTTAAAGTGTTGCCTCAAGAATGATCTGAATTAACACAGCCCAACCATAGAGTGTGAAGTAATCGAGCGTGTTGACTATGTCACCTATTTTGACGGTTTCATTAATCCTTAAAGGTTGGTGCCCGATGGGATATTGACTAGGATTCAAAAGACTCATTTGGTTTTGGCGAATTTGAGCGAACTACGTAGTGGATGAGATACCCATTAGTCTATTGAGGTCCAGTCAGTCACAACGTAGGACCAGGCATATTTATGAATCGGTCCAAGTTGCCATATCTCGTTAGCACAACAAGATGAACACCGGATTCATAGAAGTAATTAATTTAGTGGTGGTAGTATATAAAAAAAGATTTTATATAAGGATATAGTATAGGAAGAAAGGTATTAGGCTATTTTAATCTCAAGGTTTAAAGGAATATAAAGAGTGTATACACCTACGCCAATGTGATCGATTCTGAGCCATATCACCTAGAGTCTCCAACAATTGGTTACGATAGTCACGCGGACCCCAACCAGGTAGTCTGCATCTACCAACATGGATCAGGCTAGAAGTTAGTGACTTCAAGCACTGATACCATGTTTTGGTTTGGCCGCCACTAACTCTCTTCCAATCATCCCCTACACTAGTCAACATTGCGCGTCGTGGTAATCGGTGTTCAGGTATACGTAATAAGTGGCCCAACCATCTCAGTCGATGAATATTCACAACCTCATCAACTGATTTACCATCACTCCCTAATACCGTGCGTCTAACCTCACTATTACTTACCCAGTGATCCCAGATGATTCTGACAATATTTCTAAGACATATGTGATCAAATACTAGAAACTTACGAGTATCTTTTACTTTTAATGGCCACGTTTCGCTGTCTTAAAGTAGAACAGAGCGAACTGATGTGCAGTATACTCGTCCCTTAATTGATAGACGGATATCTCGCCTTAGACATAGGTGACGTAAGTTGGCAAAAGCCAAACGAGCTTTTTGAATCCGTGCTGAGATTTCGTCAGACACCAACCCATTAGGGCTGATCAGACTTCCAAGATAAGTGAAGTTGTCCACGCGTTCGACTACTTCACTTCCTATCCTTAGTTCAGGTGTTGACGCAGGCCAGTCCTGGAGTAACAATTTACATTTAGATGGGGAGAAACGTATCCCAAACATCCTGGCGTTATTACTCAGTTCTGACAGAAGACTCTGCATTTTGCCAGCGTCTTCACCAAACAGGACTATGTCATCTGCGTATTCTAAGTCGATAAGTGAACCTCCTGGTAGAAGATCAATTCCTGAAAATTCAGTCGACGAGTGTTATTTCCAGCAATATGTCTATAATGAAGTTAAACAAAAATGGAGATAGTGGACATCCTTGACGGACACCACTTGAGGTTGTAAAATCAGATGACAGTTCGTCATAAGCTCCCACTCGACTGGTAGTGTTCGAGTAAAGAGCCTTCACAAGGTTTATGTACCTCTGAGGTACACCTTTCAACGACAAACACTGCCACAGAACCTCTCGGTCTACAGAGTCAAATGCTGCTTTCAGGTCAAGAAAAACTATCATTGTCGGACGCCGATAAACATGTCTGTGCTCTAAGACCTGGCGAATAGTCAATATGTGGTCGATACAGCCACGACTAGGTCTGAAGCCAGCCTGATTTTCTCGTGTTTGCAGTTCACGAGTCTTAGTTAGGCGCCCGATAATTATTGAGGCTAGTATTTTAGACGATATGTTAGTCAAACTAATCCCTCTATGGTTATCACAGGATGATTTTGGCCCCCTCTTATATACTGGGACAATAAGTGATTGTGACCAGTCGGATGGGATTACGTCCAACTCCCAGATTTTAGCCAGAATATTAGTCAACCTAGTCGCTAAAATTGGACCACCATATTTAAAGACCTCTGGAGCCAGTCCATCTGCTCTTCCTCGTTTCAGATTACTTATAGCCTTTTGAACTTCAACTAGAGTTGGGGGACCTACTTCAATGTTCCATTCAGGTTTTCCGGGAATAGTGGGTAGTTGTGTAGTAGCTGAAGGCCAGCTAAACTGCTCTTTAAAGTGTTCCGCCCATCGTTCTAAACGGCTGGGCTGAGAGCAGATAAGAGTTCCGTCTTTTTCCGAGATCGTTTCACTTACACTTGACTTATTAATTCCGGTTTCTTTTATTAGTCTGAATAGTTGTCTGGTGTTGCCTACAGCCGCTGCCTTTTCCATCTCTTTTGCTTTCGTTGTCCACCACTGCTCACGATCGTTCCTTAGACTTTTAGTTAACCTAGATCTAATTTGTCTACGCTCTTCGTCGTGTTCAGAGCCTGATGGGATGAGTTTACGCGAATCCATCAGTGAAATAGGCTTGGAAGAAATCCATTGGTTTGTTGGGATCCTACGGTTTAAATTACTAAGAGATGTGATTGCTGTTTCCACAGCTGTTCGTATATCTTTCCAAGCAGTATTTGGGTCAGTCTCGTTTACAGAACTTCCTAGATGTGCACTCAGTTGTTTCTGAAATTCGCATTTGGCTTTCTCGTCCTCCAGTTCAATCCTAATGGGTCTTCTTAGTGTAGTTTTCCTGCGTCCAGTGAGGCCTAGACAAACGCGTGCTCGTATTAAAGCGTGATCAGGGTCTAAACAAGTATTCCAAAACGAGCGACAATCTTCTATTGAGCCTCTCCAACGATGACTGATGATAATATGGTCTATTTGAGTCCATCGTTGGTTTGGTGCAGGTGGTCGGCATGTTAGGCGATGTCTCTCCTTATGCTTAAAGTTAATGTCTGCTAAAAATAAACGATTGTCTGAGCATAGTTGCAACAGACGATCACCATTATCGGTTCGTTGAGCCGGAATACTAAAACACCCACCTAAATGTCTTTCTGTTTGATTCAAGCTGCCTACCTGGGCATTAAAGTCACCCGCTATGAGCACTATGTCTGAGCGCTTAGCTTTCTGAAGAAGATCAGAGAGCTTTCTGTAAAAGTCATCTTTCATTTCATCAGGGCTGCAGTCAGTGGGATTGTAGGCAGAAACGACGAAAAGGCAACGACGTGTGTTCCTATTCTTCCGAGTTCTTACGAAGCCATTTAACCGGACAGCACACAGGCGACTGTTAACGGGGATCCATTCTAGTAGTGCTTGTTCTGCTCTCGTACTAAGTGCTATGCCTACACCTGCAAGTCTACGAGAACTAGCCAACGGGTCGCCAGATACACGGAGGGTGTATTTCGTTGGCTGTCCATTTTGGCGAGGTGAGGTCAAGTGAATGACCGCACTGGGATCCTGTATGCGTGTTTCGGAGACACAGCATACATCAATGGTACGAGATTCTAGGGTTTTAGCCAAGAAGGCCTGTTGACCGATTTGGCTTAGGGTACGTACGTTGAAGGCTCCAATGTGTAGTTTGGAGCGAGGTTTTAGTAGATCTGGGACAGTGTTTCGCGCACTAGAATCGTTGGCTGTGGTGACACTTGAGGAGGAAAACGAAAGAGGAAGTTTAGTGTTGAAAGTTGAGGTAGAAGGAACAGTAGGAAGTGAAGAGGGAGATTGATTATGAATATAGTGGTCTTCAGTGCTGTTAGAGGTATTTTATATTATATAGTAGTCTTCGTCTTATTTTATGGTTACGAAACGTGGCCTCGATAAGTCGGTTGATGAAAATATCAATCTTTATCAAGTGAGATAGTTGAGATGTGTTACATATCCTCAAAGACCGCCTAAAGCGACGTGCAATGACGGCTGGGAAAAAGTTAGAGACGCCCAAACCAAGGCACCAATTGTATATGAAATCACTGACTGAAACGGAGTCGCATTGGTAAATGCTGATTAAATGATTGAAGTCTGAGTGATAAGTTGTTGGAGATCTTAAAGCGACTTGTTTCAGGATCCTTTGCAGTATCTCATATACGCTCTCAGTATTTCTCTCTGCATACCTTACCTTCATTCCTTTTTTAACGAACAATATATATTCAATATTTCATTCTTCTCATTATTATTCTGAAATTTTCGTTATCGATTTTATTAATTTTATTTAGTTGTGTTAATTTGGTATGACAACTTTATCTAGTGCAAATTTACTCCTAACTTTACATTTATGACCGGCCAGAAGTGTAAAAGCATATTTCTGACTTTTTCCGATGAAGATGTGACCTATTCACTTTCCTTGTACTTGTTATTAGAAATTACTTCAGCAGAGATTCAACAAATGACTACCACCACTCTTTACAGGGATATAATAAAGTCTAGTTGGGATTCCTTAACCTAACACAATGGACGATTATAAAAGGCCTTTCATAGTTCTTATTGTTTTGTTCTATCACGTGGTTCCACATCGGTTCTAGTCAGTCAATCGTCATCAACGTAGTATTAGTTCAAGTTTCCACACCATATTAGTACGATGATGAAATTAACAAGTTACATATTAAGGGAGAATAACTAATGTGGCAGCATTGATGATGAAAAAGAGTAAGCATTGAGAATATGGTTCGAAAGGAAATAGTGAAAGAGTATATGTGAAGGAATACTGGATTTCATGATCGAGAGGAAGATTAAGAGTAAATGCATCTACGTCATTGTAAACGATTATGAGCAATCTCAGTAAAAGTCTCCAGACATTGATTAAGGTTATCTGACGGACCTTAACTAGGTAGTCTGCATAAACCATCACACATTCCAACAGTCAATGACTTTATGGACTATCACCGCTTTGTGATTTGACAATAATTGAATCTCTTGGTTCGAGATTGACCACGATAGAGGAAGAACGTGTTATTTCCAAGAATATATCTACAGTGAGATTAAATAGAAAGAGGCAGGCAATAATATTGAAAAACACCACTAGATGTTGACAATTTCAACAATAATTTGCTGTCAACGCTGATGAACAATGGTGCTCGAGTAGGGTCTTCACAATGTTGATATAATTTGCTCAATCCTTTAATTAAAAACAGTCACAAAAACTTTCCCTTAACAGCAGAAAGTCACGGAATAAAACCATGGTTGGGCATCGGTGAGTATCTTTGTGCTTAAAACCTGGTGAAGAGTGAACATCTAGTTATTACATTCACGTCCATGTCAGAAACATCCTAATTAAACGAATTTGCTCTTAAGTTCACCAGTACCCACTCCACTTCCTTGCTTTAAGTTACTTAGACTTCCTGAAGGTTATAGTATTCTGTAAGACCTGTTCTTATACCTTGTCTAAGCTACATTCATTGTGGGTATAGGCAAAAACAAAGAAAGGCTGGCTTGTGACTTTGTCATTCCTAACTCTGTACCATAGAGACGGACTCCACATAAGGGACTTTCAAAAACGATCCAGCCAATAGGTGCTTTCCCTGATTTCAAATTTGGTGCTGTGTTTGCACCGGAAAGAAATAGCCAACGTGTCTTTAGATATACAAAAGGTATATGAGTTTGGCTCAACTTACTAACTAGGTGAGGCAAAGTAAGCGACCTCACTAGGAACGTTTGTGCATTCAGACACGATAATTAACATCCGCACTCAACTCACGGTTCAACAATATCTTAAAAAACAATAGTCCCATGGACGAGTTAAGTCATGTCATTAAGCATAAAAAAGAAGTTCGGACAAAAAACATATAATAAAGCAGCTAAAATAGTTTGTACGATAACGAAACTAAGTAGACAGACAAGTTAGTTAGGATCCGATTTAAACTACAGAAAGTTGTAATACGGTCAGAAAAAGGTTTAGAACACTCACCTGTTGTATTAGGATGTTCGCATTCTACTGCTACTGAAGAATGGTGGTCATTTTGAAGTGAGTTGAGGACAGGTAGACGTTTATGAAAATCATCGGCAAAAAACAACCCCCCTGAACTTGAGGTCTTGGATATTGCAGTGGGAGTATTTAAAACTTCATTTGCATCAATAAGAAAAAACTTTGTAGCGTCAGATGCTGTTTTGGGAGTCTCACCTGAATGAAATGAATCGAAAGACACGTGATAATCGTCTAATGACTGAGCTCCAGAGATTTCATTGGCCATATTCCCAAGAAGTATCTGATTTTTAACTTCGAGGTATGTAAACAACGAACGTCCGATTTCCTCTTACTTCCTCATGTAGGGAGAATTTGCGCAACATATAACACCATTTATCGGTCGTGAAATAGAAAGAATTAAAGATTTGAACTTCTTTAGAGAAAACCCCAGATAAAATTAACCCCGAAAATCACTTTGGCAAGATAGAGTCACGCAGACTATGTCTAGATTTGAGTGAAAAGAACAGGTCACTTGAAATGTTTGCTGTAACGTAACGACAGTCTAGTAAGATTTAAGGTTATTCCAATAGATCTTCTGCTTCTTTGGGAGTAACAAATAACACGTCAGTTCAAAGACCATGATGACAAGCAGTTTTGGAAGCCAAACATATAAATTAAGGAGAAATATCTTCACAGTCAGTAGGCAAACGAAACCGGGAGTACCCTCCAAGGTCATCAGAGCGAACCAATTATAATGCGAAAACAAGGTTTTACTTTTCAAGGTCAAAAATGATAAAAATAAGCGCTTCCTTTAATTATGCATATGGAGCTGCTTGTTGAGATGCACAGCAATCTTAGTGCGGTATGTTAAATTTTGTGTGAATGCTACAAATTCAAATACACTATCAATAATTTCCTAAAATTTACAAAACTTTTTAATCTTCATCAGGCTCACTTTAATGAGCGATGTGCTAAACAGTGTATGAAGGTTGGAAATATCGAAGGTGCAATCTATTACTATAAAAAGTCTATTGGTAAGCAACTAATGTGCTTTTGGCACTCATTCAGATGCCGGTTTTCACTTATATGTGTGCAAAATATTTTTGCGTTTACCCCTGCTGACATTCAGTCTTTAGTAATAATGATAGGAGGTCTATTGAACTATATTAATCTTTTCAGTTTGTAACACTGTGAAGGTCCAATCTCGTTTTCCATATATCAAAAGAAGGTGCTGATATTGCATGTTCTGGTAGAGAATTCCTGTAATTCACTACTCGGTGCGAGAAACGAAACGTCAGACGTAGACGTTTTGATCTCGATTTTGGGATTTTCTTCGAATGTCCTCTCAAATTATCAGTCCTACACTGAAGGAAAAGATAAGACATTAATACTAAGGTCATCGTTCAATATACGATAAGCCAACATTAAATCACCTCGTATTCTGCGGTAAGATAACGGAAATAATTTGAGGCCAGATGGACCTTTTACCATTTTAGTCCCTCGACGTTGGACTCGTTCCGACATATCCGCCTCATACTTGAAACAAGGACTCGCTGCTTAAATCCCATATTTCAAATGTATTCGCAAGTTTGTCGAGTATAATAATTTAAACATTTCCTCATCCAAAATCTGGAAAGACCTACGAATAGACCATGATACCCTATAGCCTTTTGCAGCAGCAGTCTTACAGTGACTGGTAGTTTTTAGATCACTGCTTAATATGACTTCTAAATCTTTATAGTTTCTTACTTTGGGTAACTCGAATCCACATACTGTGTAGTGGTACGAATCATCATAGTTATTTAATTGCATCACCACACTTGTTAGGATTCACTTCTAGTGACCATCCGTCCATCCATGCCACCAACGAGTTGAGATCATCCTGTAATACTATTTTATCTGACATGCTGTATATGGGTCTCCAAATCTTTATGTCATCAGCGAAGAGTAGAACGGATGATTTAGCTTCAGTTGGTAATTCATTTACATAAAGTAAAAAGAGAAGAGAATCGAGGATCGTGCCTTAAAGGAGTCCACTTTTCACAAGTTCCCACCATGAGAGAGCTCCACCTACATTTACCCTTTGTCTATTGTCATGGGGAAAGTCACTTATCCAGGCTACGACTGTATACTGGATTCCAAAACTTCCCATTTTTAATTTGTATGGCAACTCGGACTGATGTACGTACGTACGAAGTTCTACGTTGTAACTGACTGACTGACATCTTTAATTTGAGACCAGAGTGGGAAACTTTATCAAAGGCTTTACATAGATCTATGAAAATCACATCTACAGGAATATTTCTATTTTTTGCCTCAGCCCAATCTTCTCTTCCAATGAGATTTGTCAAGCATGATAGGCCATTTCGAAAACCATGTTGTTCCCCGGATAAAAGATTATCGCCTCCGAATGCCCTTAAATACGGCCGAGAGTAGGGAGAGTCCGCTCTCCCTCTCGAAATGCTCTCACACGGCCACGCGTATAAAGCCTCTGCCAGGGAAGTACTACTCACTGCCTTCTCGTGTCACCGGTGTTGTTTACGAAATTGAGAAAACGAAAAGCGAATGTCCGGTGCTTTAACCGGGTCGGTGGACACGGAAAGTCCACCTAGAGGAGTTGGAAAACCTTGATTCCAAACCAATAGTGTACATGGTCTGCAGTATCCTGAGGGAATGAATAGCGTGTGAAACAACTTTTGGTCACCGGCTACGGTGGGACTACATCTCCTTACGTTACTCCACTGCCTTGTGGATCAGACCTTTAGGTCAAAGGCACCGGGTGTGGCCCCTTAAGAAAACCACCTGTTTCAGTCTGGGCACCCCAGCAGTATCACAGCCCTCACACTAATCGAATGATTTGTGGTGCGTATGTATTCGGTGCTCCACTGTACCAATGTTTATATGTTTAAATAAATAAATAAATAAAATGATTATCCCCTTCCACATAATTCATAACAGCCAACCGAATAATTTTTTCCATTAGTTTTAAAACTGCACTGGTCAAGCTAACGGGTCGATATTTGCTAACTAATTATCACATCTTTCCAGTCTCTGGGCTCTAGACTGCCACGGAGTCATTTCAAACAGTATTGCTAAAAGTTCAGCAATTACATCTGGTAGGGCTTTCATAGTCCTAGGATGAATATCATCAGGCCCACTGGACTTATCAGGCTTGAGATTCTGAAGTATTCTTAAGACAGACCATCAACAAGCCGCCACAATCACAATGAATCGTTGGTCATTCCCCATTATTGATAGAAAATACTGTACTGAATTATTCCGATAAAGCTTCACCTTTTTCGGCATTACCTCTTGCCAATATTGACGGATTTTCTTGTACCAAAAGTGATGGGATTTCGTCACTTTTCTGAATTCGCCCTTCTATGTACGAAAATAATCGCTTCGGATCATATTTACAATCCCTAACCAATTGTTTTTCATATCCCGATCGTTGCTGCTACCTTCACGTGGTGGTCGGGCTTGCCTATCGTGATGATTCAATCGAGCTATACTGGCTGGAGCAATCGTTCCTCAAGGACCTACCATGCCAGGCAGGTCGTTTGAAGAGCGGTGAGACTAAAAGCAGCAAACCCAAGGTCCGAAGGCGAAATCGTACTGCTGACTGTACAGAGGTGTGACAGCAGTAAGGTGTTTCCTTCAGACAACAACAGAAGTCACATCTCTTAGTAATTTAAACCGTAGGATCCCAACAAACCAATGGATTTCTTCCAAGCCTATTTCACTGATGGATTCGCGTAAACTCATCCCATCAGGCTCTGAACACGACGAAGAGCGTAGACAAATTAGATCTAGGTTAACTAAAAGTCTAAGGAACGATCGTGAGCAGTGGTGGACAACGAAAGCAAAAGAGATGGAAAAGGCAGCGGCTGTAGGCAACACCAGACAACTATTCAGACTAATAAAAGAAACCGGAATTAATAAGTCAAGTGTAAGTGAAACGATCTCGGAAAAAGACGGAACTCTTATCTGCTCTCAGCCCAGCCGTTTAGAACGATGGGCGGAACACTTTAAAGAGCAGTTTAGCTGGCCTTCAGCTACTACACAACTACCCACTATTCCCGGAAAACCTGAATGGAACATTGAAGTAGGTCCCCCAACTCTAGTTGAAGTTCAAAAGGCTATAAGTAATCTGAAACGAGGAAGAGCAGATGGACTGGCTCCAGAGGTCTTTAAATATGGTGGTCCAATTTTAGCGACTAGGTTGACTAATATTCTGGCTAAAATCTGGGAGTTGGACGTAATCCCATCCGACTGGTCACAATCACTTATTGTCCCAGTATATAAGAGGGGGCCAAAATCATCCTGTGATAACCATAGAGGGATTAGTTTGACTAACATATCGTCTAAAATACTAGCCTCAATAATTATCGGGCGCCTAACTAAGACTCGTGAACTGCAAACACGAGAAAATCAGGCTGGCTTCAGACCTAGTCGTGGCTGTATCGACCACATATTGACTATTCGCCAGGTCTTAGAGCACAGACATGTTTATCGGCGTCCGACAATGATAGTTTTTCTTGACCTGAAAGCAGCATTTGACTCTGTAGACCGAGAGGTTCTGTGGCAGTGTTTGTCGTTGAAAGGTGTACCTCAGAAGCACATAAACCTTGTGAAGGCTCTTTACTCAAACACTACCATTCGAGTGAAAGCTTATGGCGAACTGTCATATGATTTTACAACCTCAAGTGATGTACGACAAGGTTGTCCACTATCTCCATTTTTATTTTAGCTTCATTATAGACATATTGCTGGAAATAACACTCGTCGACTAAATTTTCAGGAATTGATCTCCTACCAGGGTGTCCACTAATCGACTTAGAATACGCAGATGTCATAGCCCTGTTTGGTGAAGACGCTGACAAAATGCAGAGTCTTCTGTTAGAACTGAGTAATAACGCCAGGATGTTTGGGATACGTTTCTCCCCATCTAAATGTAAATTGTTACTCCAGGACTGGCCTGCGTCAACACCTGAACTAAGGATAGGAAGTGAAGTAGTCGAACGCGTGGACAACTTCACTTATCTTGGAAGTCTGATCAGCCCTAATGGGTTGGTGTCTGACGAAATCTCAGCACGGATTCAAAAAGCTCGTTTGGCTTTTGCCAACTTACGTCACCTATGTCTAAGGCGAGATATCCGTCTATCAATTAAGGGACGAGTATACTGCACATCAGTTCGCTCTGTTCTACTTTAAGACAGCGAAACGTGGCCATTAAAAGTAAAAGATACTCGTAAGTTTCTAGTATTTGATCACATATGTCTTAGAAATATTGTCAGAATCATCTGGGATCACTGGGTAAGTAATAGTGAGGTTAGACGCACGGTATTAGGGAGTGATGGTAAATCAGTTGATGAGGTTGTGAATATTCATCGACTGAGATGGTTGGGCCACTTATTACGTATACCTGAACACCGATTACCACGACGCGCAATGTTGACTAGTGTAGGGGATGATTGGAAGAGAGTTAGTGGCGGCCAAACCAAAACATGGTATCAGTGCTTGAAGTCACTAACTTCTAGCCTGATCCATGTTGGTAGATGCAGACTACCTGGTTGGGGTCCGCGTGACTATCGTAACCAATTGTTGGAGACTCTAGGTGATATGGCTCAGAATCGATCACATTGGCGTAGGTGTATACACTCTTTATATTCCTTTAAACCTTGAGATTAAAATAGCCTAATACCTTTCTTCCTATACTATATCCTTATATAAAATCTTTTTTTATATACTACCACCACTAAATTAATTACTTCTATGAATCCGGTGTTCATCTTGTTGTGCTAACGAGATATGGCAACTTGGACCGATGCATATATGTGCCTGGTCCTACGTTGTCGCTGACTGACTGTTTTTCATATGACCTTCTAGTCTTACAAATTAACGCCTTACAAACACTTCTAATCTTAAAATAACTACATTTGTGCTGTTCTAAGCCACTAGAGACGAATATATTCCGGTGATTTTCTTACGTCTAAGAAGTTTCTCGACTTTTTTAGTTATTCATGGTGGACTATTATTCGGTCTACGTGGTACCAAGTATGATATGAACGAGGACGTGACTGAACTAAACTTGCCTTTAAATATAGACTATGCTTCTTCAATTGATGATCTAGTATCTACTAAACAATCTATCTTGGAGGCACATTCCTGAATGGCTGATTGTTACGTCTGGCCGATTTATTTATAATTATTTAAACACATAAATATTGGTACAAGGAAGCACCAGATACATATGCGCCATACAAATCTCATTCGATTTGCTTGAGGACTGTGATACTCCCAGGTGCCCGAACTGATGCAGGTGGTTTTCTTAGGGGCCCACACCCCGAGCCTTTGACCGAAAGATCTGATCCACAAGGCAGTGGAGCATCGTGAGGAGATGCAGTCCCATGGTAGCCGGTGACCAGCAGCAGGTTCATTCGCAAGTCGTTCCATCAGGATACTGGAGTCCATGTGCACCATTGGTTTGAAATCAGGGTTTTCCAACTCTCTAGGTGGACCCTCCGTGTCCACCGACCCGGTTAAAGATCCGGACATTCGCTTTTCGCCCTCTCACTTTCGTAAACAACTGTAATGCCACGAGATGGCAGTGAGTAGGACTTCCCTGTCAGAGGCTATATATTCGCGTGGCCATGTGATAGCATTTCGAGAGGGAGAGTAGACTCTCCCCACTCTCGGCCGTACCAGGACATTTGGGGGCTCAGATTGTGAACACTATATTCGCTTCCCTAAGCTAGTTACGTACCCCCGAGCTTGAACTACTCCGCGACTTGAAGACGAGAGAAAACGAACAAAGTGTGAGGGAAGCACTTTACTACAGGGTTCCTTCATGTAGTGTTTCTTGATATTAGGGCTGCCTTCGATTCGTTGGACAGGATTGTTCTCTGGGATTGTCTTTTGAAGAAGGGTGTGCCTGAGAAGTTCATTAACATCTTAAAGGCCCTGTATACGAACACCTCAGGCAGAGTGAGGGCATACAACCACATTTCTACCTTGTTCCATTCGAGCAGTGGGGTTAGGCAGGGTTGCCCGATCTCACCATCCCTCTTCAACTCTGCCATCGACGACATCCTGGAAACAGCTCTGATGGATGTAAGTAATGGCGGTGTGGATATGTTGCCTGGAGAACGACTTCTCGACCTTGAGTGTGCGGATGATATTGTCTTACTGTGCGATAATGCCCAAGGCATGCAATCCGCACTTAATCAGTTGGCAATCAGTGTCCGCAGGTACGGCATGTGCTGGCAGGATTCTCATCCTGTACTCACCCTGGATGGTGAGCATATTGAAGTAGTTGAGAAGTTCGTGTATCCAGGTAGCTACATGAATGCTGGTGGTGGCGTAAGTGATGAGATTGATGCACGTATAAGGAAAGCCAGAGCGGCTTATGCCAATCTGGGCCATCTTTGGCGCCTTCGTGATGTTAGTCTGGCTGTAAAAGGTCGGATCTACAACGCGTCGGTGAGAGCAGTTTTGCTCTATGCTTGTGAAACCTGGCCTCTCCGAGTTGAGGATGTTAGACGTCTCTCTGTGTTCGATCATCGTTGTCTCCGAAGGATTGCTGACATACAGTGGCAACACCATGTTAGTAATGCAGAGGTTCGGCATCGTGTGTTCGGGCGCAGAGATGATAATTCAATTGGTGTCACCATCTTGAAACACCGACTTCGGTGGCTTGGACATGTTTTACGAATGTCGTCCCAGAGACTTCCACGTCGTGCATTATTTGCCGACACTGGGACTGGTTGGAAAAGGCGGAGAGGAGGTCAGTGTATGACATGGTGTCGTGGCATGAAAGAGAGCTGCAAAGGGCTAGCTTCTGTTTGTTTTTCACGTCTCCCTGGCTGGGGTCCGAGAGATGGTGCAACACAGTGGCTAGAGACGTTATCAGATATGGCTCAGAATAGAAGCCAGTGGCGAACCTGCTGTAACCTTCTTTTACTTTCTACATAAAGAGTGGTTCTAACTTTCTTAACTGAAAGAGTCTTTCTTTCTCTTTTTTTCCTTTTATATATACGCATCTTCTTCCTTCTCCCATTCTCATTATTTTGTGTGGTGCATATGTATCCGATGCCCTTTGTACCAATATATATGTGATTAAATAAATAAATAAATATAGTAATTTAAGAGCCCTTGAGTTTTACCGAAAATTCTAGAATACTGCTAAACTTAGTAGCAGTGCATTAACCAGCCAATCAGGATCTCCACATGTGACTTTTCCATTTTCGTTATTTTAGTAACATAACTTCTAACTAATCGCTGATTGGTTGAAATGCTCCTTGATGAACCCTGAGCTTGTTATGTCGCTTGCGAAAAAAATACAGGGTCATCCCAACACTGATATGTTAGCTCTCCATACATTTGGGTGAGGCTTAACCTGATCGTATATCATGTCACTAGCTCTAAACGTGCATGACAAAACAACGTGATCGCTACTCACTATTTGGGACGGTGACGATTGTATCCGAGTTATCAATTTCCACTGGAGATGCATGATTGCCAATGTCAGTATCAAGTGGCACTTCATTCCTCGTTAGTTTCAACGGAAAATTCACTTATCCATCAAACACAGTAGGGTGTTTAACGCGTCCTGTAACAGCACGTACAACACCGACACATTCTTCACTGTCAGTACTTGTGTTACCAACTCAACCACTGTCTTTCTTTTTACAGGCCAAAGCTAATAGACTCATAGCCTCCTGGATTAGTAACGTCCTATTTGTATAGCAAAACATACAAAGCCAATGCGAGTTAGTCTACGAGCACCTTTTGTATGCGGTGGGACTTAAACTAGTACACATCTTATGGAATCACTTTTTGCACTCGTCACATTGCATTCTTTCCCCCACGTGGAATAAACAGTTCGGCTGTCCACATTTATAAGTACTACCAACCATTGTTATCAGATCAGAAAGGCTTAAAACATTATGAACAAAAGTGTCAGAGTCAATGAGAAAGAAGGTACCACAAGACAAAGTTTAGAAAAATTTCAAACCTTAACCGAAATATTTCGAGTTAAAGTAGACCAAGAATGCTTTTTGATGCAACAAGTGCACAAAAGCAACGATAATCACAACAAGTACGAGATCACTACCCTTTTTAATATATATATATATATATATATATATATATATATATATATATATATATATATATATATGTGAACCAAAGTGGTTATTTATATCGTAGTTATGACTGGCTTTTTTCTGCATATATTCGTATTAGTTTTGGATTTTAAATTGACAACTGTAGCCACTTTCTTTTCAACACTCATCTTGTTACGATTCTCTGGTTATGCTTCTGCTAAACGTGTAGCAATTCCTATCGCTCTCTATCCACATTAATTACGGTGCTGTTTATGTTTATCTGCTCAGTGCAAACACAATCTGGATCAACAAATAAACTCACTAATCCTAGAAATTATTTTAACTTGAACTGTTCATTTGTAGTACATTGTTCTATTCTCCTTAGTCCGTAGTAAGCCTATAGTTATCAAATTTTTTATTACTTTCTGAAGCCTTCATGGAACTAACCCGAGAAGAGGTTGAAGAAGGAGACCATGATTATGTAATTATTGATTTGCAGTTATCATCACTGAAGCTAAGCTTAAGTGAGGTGGTATCGAAGAAGACAGAAATAATATCTGGTGATCAGAACGTTTCTTTGAAGACAATCCCTGCTGATCATTCACCTTATGACAAAAAAATAGCTGACCCTCCGTCATACTTACCTTTATCTTCAAATCAAACGTCCAATAAGAAGGAACAAGGAGCTGCTGTTAAACTTCCTAAGACTGAATTTCAAACACGTGAAGAATTAGTCACCTGTATCGAAGAACTTCGAAAACTTGTAAGTTTTTTTAGTTAATAGTATATGATATTTACCTAACCTAATCGTTTCAAAACCTCACTTCCTCGACTTAATCTAGATATCTAGGTGCAGATTATGCTATAAGTCTCCAAAAAAGTTATTTGTTGACAATATTCACTTTCCCACGTACACATTACATACTTGTCTTTAAGTCACTTATGAGAGCAGCTCATAGCTTTTCACAGCTGCTTGAACCTAAGTAAATGGAAGAAAGACAAAGTAGCTTAGCAGTTGAAGTGCTCGACTTTCAAACATTAGGTCACAGGTTCTTACTCTTCTAGATCTACTTCGGTCCAGTCACTTAGATAGAATTACTAACCTTAACACATAAAGTGTAGCGCAAAGCTGAACATTCAATCCTGTACTTAAATATTGCATCATTTTTGTAATTTCTATGAATAAACATCTTCCTGGTTCCTAGCTGTCAAGTGGAATATCACTACATTGTTCCTACCGTAAGAGCCAAGTGTTTATGTAGAATTTACTGTATTTTACACAATTCAATGTATTTTAGTACCAGAGATTTTTGGAAATTTTCAAACTTTATAGTTTACTTCACGAAGTGACTTTAGTCTCAAGTTATTTGGTAATGGCCCCCAAATGCCCTGGTACGGCCGAGAGTGGGGAGAGTCTACTCTCCCTCTCGAAATGCTCTCACATGGCCACGCGAATATATAGCCTCTGCCAGGGAAGTCCTACTCACTGCCTTCTCGTGGCATTACAGTTGTTTACGAAAGTGAGAGGGCGAAAAGCGAATGTCCGGATCTTTAACCGGGTCGGTGGACACGGAGGGTCCACCTAGAGAGTTGGAAAACCCTGATTCCAAACCAATGGTGCACATGGACTCCAGTATCCTGATGGAACGACTTGCGAATGAACCTGCTGCTGGTCACCGGCTACCATGGGACTGCATCTCCTCACGATGCTCCACTGCCTTGTGGATCAGATCTTTCGGTCAAAGGCTCGGGGTGTGGGCCCCTAAGAAAACCACCTGCTTCAGTTCGGGCACCTGGGCAGTATCTCAGTCCACACACAAATGACATGAAATGACGCACTACACTAACTACACTGCTCTCGTTCCTAACAGAAGAAAGACAATTTACATTATTTCCATTATTATTATTACTATTATTTACTACGTCGCTTTTTCACTCCCTTTATTCCCAAATTGTGTATCATTCCTTTCCAACTTATGCAGTAGCTCGCCCATGGTGGAAACTCTGTCCTATCTAAACATTCTCCAGTCACTGTCTGGTTGAAAGTGAATGCTTCCACCGATTTCGAATACTGAAGCAGTCTTTCTGAAACCACGTACGCCGTTCAAGCTGGCTTCCTTCAACGTTCGCACACTAATGCAGATCGGACAACAGATGGGGCTGGCTATGTCTTTAGAAAGTCTTAATGTTGATGTTTGCTATCTATCCGAGACCCGTATTCAAGACTCTAGTGAAGTACTACAAATTCGCTCTCCATCTGTCGCTTCGAAAAGCTTGTTTCACGTGCGCTTATCCGGGTACTCTGTGGCATCTTCGTCCGGTCTTGCTGGCGTTGGTGTTGCACTAAGCGCTAGAGCTGAGGCAGCACTAATCGATTGGATCCCCATTAACAGTCGGTTATGTGCTGTTAGATTAGAAAGTTCCATCGAAGTGAGAAGAAACCGGCGTGAGAAACGGTGTCTTTTCGTCATCTCCGCCTATGCCCCGACAGATTGCAGCCCGGATGCAATCAAGGATGAGTTTTACCATCAGTTAACAGTTCTTCTCCAGAAAGCGCGTTCGACAAATATTGTAGTATTAGCCGGAGACTTGAATGCTCAGGTCGGGCGTCTAGGCACAGAAGAGAGTCGGTTAGGTGGCCGATGGGGACTTGTTGGTCGCAGGACAGATAACGGGGACCGTTTGCTGCAACTGTGCACAGACCACGACCTGTTTCTGGCTAGCACTAACTTCCGGCACAGTCATCGCCGGTGTGCCACCTGGTGTCCTCCCTCTGCATCTCAAGCTTGGACTCAGATTGATCACATCGCGATCAGCTACCGCTGGCGTGGTTGTGAGTGAAACAGTCTACGAGGATGACGGGATGCCAATCACTAACATCTGTCGACGTCTTGGACGATGGGTGGAATTTTTCGAAGGGCAGTTCAACTGGCCTGCTGCTCCGGCAACATCAACCAGTTTGTCCTGCCCCCCCCATGGCCGGTGATGACTGATCCACCAAACGAGGCGGAAGTCCGCAAGGAACTCCAACTCTTGAAACGTTACAAATCACCGGGCCCAGATGACTTACCTCCGGCTCTTTTTAAAGATGGTGGTGACTTTCTGGCTAAGGAGCTTACGGTGTTGTTTGCAAAGGTTTGAGAGCAAGAAAGTGTTCCAACATCATGGAATGAGTCAATAGTCGTCCCTATCTTTAAAAAGGGTTCACGTTGTTCCTGTAACAACTATCGGGGGATAAGTCTACTTCCGATTGCGTCCAAACTATTGGCTTCTATCATTCTTCGTAGGTTGTTTAAAACCCGAGAACGATTGACTCACGAGGAGCAGGCTGGTTTTCGTTCTGGTCGAGGATGCATTGATCACATCTTCACCCTCCACCAAATATTAAAACACCGTCATACATATCGCAGGCCACAATCGTAGTGTTTCTTGATATCGGGGCTGCCATCGATTCGTTGGACAGGACTGTTCTCTGGGATTGTCTATTGAAGAACGGTGTGACTGAGAAGTTCATTAACATCTTAAAGGCCCTGTATACGAACACCTCAGGCAGAGTGAGGGCATACAACCACCTTTCTACCTTGTTCCATTCGAGCAGTGGGGTTAGGCAGGGTTGCCCGATCTCACCATTCCTCTTCAACTTTGCCATCGATGACATCCTGGAAACAGCTCTGATGGATGTAAGTAATGGCGGTGTGGATATGTTGCCTGGAGAACGACTTCTCGACCTTGAGTGTGCGGATGATATTGTCTTACTGTGCGATAATGCCCAAGGCATGCAATCCGCACTTAATCAGTTGGCAATCAGTGTCCGCAGGTACGGCATGTGCTGGCAGGATTCTCATCCTGTACTCACCCTGGATGGTGAGCATATTGAAGTAGTTGAGAAGTTCGTGTATCCAGGTAGCTACATGAATGCTGGTGGTGGCGTAAGTGATGAGATTGATGCACGTATAAGGAAAGCCAGAGCGGCTTATGCCAATCTGGGCCATCTTTGGCGCCTTCGTGATGTTAGTCTGGCTGTAAAAGGTCGGATCTACAACGCGTCGGTGAGAGCAGTTTTGCTCTATGCTTGTGAAACCTGGCCTCTCCGAGTTGAGGATGTTAGACGTCTCTCTGTGTTCGATCATCGTTGTCTCCGAAGGATTGCTGACATACAGTGGCAACACCATGTTAGTAATGCAGAGGTTCGGCATCGTGTGTTCGGGCGCAGAGATGATAATTCAATTGGTGTCACCATCTTGAAACACCGACTTCGGTGGCTTGGACATGTTTTACGAATGTCGTCCCAGAGACTTCCACGTCGTGCATTATTTGCCGACACTGGGACTGGTTGGAAAAGGCGGAGAGGAGGTCAGTGTATGACATGGTGTCGTGGCATGAAAGAGAGCTGCAAAGGGCTAGCTTCTGTTTGTTTTTCACGTCTCCCTGGCTGGGGTCCGAGAGATGGTGCAACACAGTGGCTAGAGACGTTATCAGATATGGCTCAGAATAGAAGCCAGTGGCGAACCTGCTGTAACCTTCTTTTACTTTCTACATAAAGAGTGGTTCTAACTTTCTTAACTGAAAGAGTCTTCTGGTTGTTCATTTCAGTCCGCCTTATCTTTTCATCCCTTCTCTTCCTACTTTCATTATTTTGTGTGGCGCATATGTGTCTGGTGCCCTTTTGTACCAATATATATGTGTTTAAAAATAAATAAATATTTGGTAATGTAAGCTATAAAGTTCGATCGACTTTGGCCTCCAATCAATCTAATTAGTTGCGCGTATCGTAATTATGATGCCACGAATGTAAGTTGTTTTCAGTAAAAGTGACTAATTCCTGCAGTTATTATATTTGAACGAAAGTCAATTAACTACCTTCCAGTTAGAATTGATTGCCTTTTATCCATTTGTTTTAATGTGTGATAATCTTGCTTTCTCTTGCCAAACGTTTAAGGTGGACATGTTGGCATCCCAGCTCAGTCGAGTTCGTCAAATGCTTTCAGAAGAACGTGAACGTCGTCTTGCGATAGAGGCAGAACTGATATCTTCAGGTGGTTTTAATTATCAGTCCAATGAATCTTTGACCTACCAAAACTACGATGATGACGATGGTTTTGATGAAAACAGACCATGTGTTTTGACAGGCCTCACAAAACTTACATGTTTGAACTTTAATACAGATATCCCATCGTCAACTGAGGCAGATTCATCTAACGAAGATTCAACTTTACATGAACCACGTCAAGAGTCAAATTCTAATATGTCAGACTCATTAGAGTCGAAATAATTGTATCGTAATTATTGTACATCATGCTGAAATCTTTGCACTGATCATCATTTCCACTACGACAGCTCCCCCGGTGTTCCATTCAATATGAAAAAAGCCAATCGTTTCACAGCTTATTCCCCATAATTATACTTACGGGCTAGCAATTTAACATAGATCATTTATCAAATGACGGATTTTTGTTACCAATGAGCACTAATGTGTTTCATTCAAACCACTATGTATGCATTTTATGCCTTGTTTGTCCTTTTTTTCTACATATTTTTTGGATAGTATACAGTATTATGACAACTACAAATCTCTTATATTTTACTTCCTTTAATATTCAAATGAATTGTATGATGTCTTTCAAACAGAGAGTGATAATTCATCCATTCCGTCGTCTTCAACTGTTTCAATTGACGAAAATCGATCTGTCTTTCAAAGAATATAATAGTAATTACTTTAATTATTCTCAACCTAAAACATTGATCAAGTTTCACATTATTTTTCACATAAATGGATTTTGCAAAAAATATCCTACGTTTCATTTTATTAAAGACTTCTGATAACACTGGTTTACTCACCCTAAATTGCCATACGGTTACAATGTAAACAGATACTATGTACAAACTTTCTTTTCATTAATTAAAGCAGTTAATCCTCTCTCTCTATCTTCATAGAATAATCTTAATTCATATCATGCAATCGCAGTTACAAGAAATAGACCCATGGTAAATTCTCCAGTCTGGTTGAACAAGTGAGTTATCACATACAAAAATCTAAAGACAAGGTGTGGCGTAGTGTGACGTAGTTTGGATTGTTATATGCAATCCAAGTTAGGTGAAATATGACTTGCACTGAAGTGAGGACAATTATGCCAGTAGTAGTGGCGATAGAACAGTAGCCAAAAAGGTGAAGCGAAGGTGCTAAGATTATGAATTATGATTTATGGGGAATGACGAGCAGCAGTAGTGACACAGAGGGCCAAAAATAGAGATAAGGTTGTAGTGGAAAATGCTTTAGACATATCAAGGAAACACGCACTAAAGCTAAGGTGTAAGTGAGACCATCACCGAAATAAAGGCCATGTGACCTCAATCCTATGACATTTTCTTACAATTGATGCTCTTGGCATCTAAGTTTTCAAAAATTGATCCACCAGTAGACCCTATTATTGACTTAGAATATGCAGATGATGTAATCTTATTTACTGAAGAAGCTGACCAAAAGTGCAGCCCTCTGATTGCCTTGATCTGAGCTGTAAAAATATTTGGGATGCAAACGGTGATTCAGAAGTGAATGGAGTCAACCCCTGAAGTAATGATAGAAAGTGAAGTTGGGCACTGTTATAACTTGTGCCGCCTGGATGCCCTGTTGATGTATAACGTCATAATACCGCCAATAAAAGAGCAGTGAATTATCGATCGGACCAATGACACCCGAAACCCGTACGAGCAGTCTAGAGTACTTGTCAGTCCTGCTCTCTGTCTAGTCCAGCCATTTAAGTCCAAAACACCAATAACACCCTCTGCAATATAAATCATTTGTTTAAAACATACTGGGTTTATATGCCAAGAAGACAGACCGCATGGTACCACAAATTAGGAAACATCTGTACAAGATTCAGCTAAACGCGGCTGTGAATGAGAGAGATAGTAAATTATAAACAGGGCATAACTCAAGAATGGTAAATCGTATAACAATAGTTCATAAGTCAAAATAAAGCTCATAATAATAGAGACATGAATATAAAGAGTTTGGTTATTTAACAATCATATGATAAAAATATATGCATAGTATTAGTTCATAAATGGATCCCAAATTTACCATCCATTATTCTTATCGGGACATAACAGGCACGTCGATCACTACACAACTTGGAAGTGTTATCATCCTTGATGGATTCGTGTCTCATGAGATATTGGAATGGATTCAGAAATCCTAGTGGGTCTTTGTCAACTAACATCACTTGTAGTGGAGGCGAGATGTCCATGTACCAACCAAAAGACGAGTTTTCTACACAGCAGTCCGTTGTTCTACTGTACGAATGCGAAACACGGCCGCTAGAAAAGACGCTATGTATAGGTTAATAGAATTCGATCACAAAGATCTTTGAAGCATTGTTCGTGTATTTTGGGACTAACAAGTGAGCAATGTTGAGGTTAGATGCATGGTACCGGGTAAAAATAGCAAGTCGGTTGAAGATGTAGAAAACATGAATTGCGCATGCTCAACCACTGTCTACCTCGATGTGCAATGAAGGCTGGCGTAGCAGTACGTTAGAAAGCTAAGGACGGCCAAACCAAAACTTGGCATCAGCTCATAAAGCCATTGGAAAGTATGATTAGAGATGCAGGGTACTTAGTCGGGGTCTGGTAGATAACCTCGATCAGTGCCAAGAGGCTTTGAGTGACATTGTTCATAAACATTAACAATGGCATAGATACATTCATTCTTCGTCGTTCCTTAGATCTTGAGTTTGAAAATTATCTCAGACTTTTTCTACGTAAATCCATTCTCTCGTCAGTGCCTAATGTGTTCTATTGCCATTGATATTACTACCACTATCACTCTGGCTTTTGTCTTGATAATTTTATTTTACTGTGCATATACGGTAGGCCGAATTGAAATGAAGAACAAATGTAACAAGTTCTAATTTAGTTATGATTGACTGAGAAAATTTTTATTGAGTGTACATCCAATCAATCCGTGACATTACTCACCAACAGCATGTGTTCCTTACCGTGCATACTTCTGCCATGAAACCCGTACAGTTGAGAAAAACACAAATTTTATGGAGTGGTATTACGATCCACTTATTATCAAACCTTACATGTAAACTAAGTAATCATGGTGCAACAATCGTATGATGCTTAGAAAACTTTATATGACTTTTACTCTCATTGTTCATATTTAACGACCTTATCGTCAGTTGCAGAATTATACTTTCTTACCGAAATCCGAATTGTCCAGTTAAAGCAGCCGAATAACTAGAAAACAGACTACTTAGTGTATATTTGATTTGTAGACTATCCCAATAATAAGAAAAATGGTATCTTCCATAAATCAATATTTTATTTAGCAGACTCAAGAAAAGTATTTCTGTACAAATGCGTTATCCCAGTTAAACTAATAGTCTTTCCATGACAGTGGCGTTTGTTTTTTCATTTCAACCAGCTATTTACTGTATCTTTCGTCACAGTGATCGATTTACCAAAAACAGTAGGTTGTACTTGTACAGGATGAAGACGTGTAATGAATTCTTTTAACTCCAGAAAACTACTATGTTCACTATATGGTGCACCTATTTTAAATATAGAGAAACAATAAAAAGTTATGATTTTAATATAGAAATATTAGAAGCATTATTACTACTAAATTATGTGAAAATAAAAGTTTCAGAATTACTGCTGTCTACAGAGGATATATTTTGATTTCTAGAAGAGAAATTACGCTAGATGAATAATAGAGATTGACATGAGTTGATTATAGTTTTTTTCATGAAATGACCCAAGGTTAATAAATATTCGAAGCAAGAGGGTGTTTAATAACATACTTTGAAATTCCTCAGCAGTACTACCTGTTTCAGAATTGTCTTAAAAGAAGGATAACAGAAAATACGAATTGCTCACTAAGATGATATTTTAAAAATGTCGAAAAGCCAAATATTTCGCATACTTCACGAAGACTGTAAACATACATCTCTATTAAATTGTCCCGAATCAATATTACTAAAAATAACAACTGATCAATTACACTCCTTCCTATATTTATATTAGTAATAGTTTTATCCCGAATTTTGTAATATGTATAGCGATAATTAACAGCACAATTAGTGTGTCCTAATAAGAGTTTTAATTAAATTTTGTTAGCTAGATTAAGAACTGAAGCATTTCATGTCGATCTAAATTATGGGATACTAAATCACCCCACTATGGTGAGCGAAAATAAATTCATCTAGTTTTGAATATAAAACCACACTCGCAAATACTGTCGTCAAAAAGATGATAATGAAATCAGGACCCAAAGCAGGGTACTTCCGTGGTTTCGTGATAGAGAAGGATTTTAGTCAATGAACACTAGTATTTTCGATTCAGATGAGTGATATCCAACTATCTAATCCAAGTTACCGTTCATAATTCTCAGTTGCAAAAAAAACAAATCAGAAAGAAACACTTTTCCAATCTCTCATGAATTTAGCGCTTCAACTAAACTAAACTATAGTTACTATTCTGACCTCCGAATGAGATAATAACTGGCAAATTAAGATCATAATATGAAATAATCGAGTTTAAAATAAGAATCTGTGGATTCTTGGTTCAAAACACTTTAAACACAGAATAAAAATTAAAATTCATCCTGTAAGTAATACATACTAGCTGAGAAAATGAGTTCCCGCCACTAAGAGTATTTCACATGACTGATAATAGAAATCATTCGACTGTTTCTGTAAGATATCGATACAATTTATTAAAAGTGTAAGAAAACCCAGAAGTTAAGCAAGTAACATTCGTTATCACAGTACCAACACTAAAATTTTAATTATAGTATCCAGAAAGTCTTATAGAAATAAGAGTGTGGTATTACAATAATCAAACAGAGATAACTATGAGAACAAAGCTATGATGTATTCTGAAGAAATCAGCTGTACAACTATTGTTATGTCAAATTGTTTTCCTCCTGTCCAACGAATCCCGTTAGACTATACAACAGTTCGATATATTTTTCTGTTTTTAAGGTTACATACACGAATCTATACATAATATGTCAAGTACATAGATAACAATCTTTGTGTTTTTTTTTCTGTAAATTCACTGGTCACAATCAAAGACTAGACATCATAATTTAAGAAAAGTGTGATTTCCATTAATACATGTGATCGTTACGTTGATCGCTACAAGTGACCAAATGTACAGACAACAAATAAACACGTGAATAACAACTAAATAAACAGTCTATTAGTAATAATATCAAACGAAAAAGTATCATGTTACCTTAATTATTAAGTACCCAATTCATTTGAAAGTCATCGAAAAGATGACACATCACATATGCTAACTCATAACCAATGAGTAATATAATTTTAGTGGAAATCTACAAAAATACAACTATCACTAGATAGCGAAATCAACATTCATTTGTTATAAACTGTTTATTTAAGTGGAATACGAAATATGTTCGTCTAACCATGTGATTTAACACAAAGTAGTACAGTAATTGAACAACCTTTACACGCATCCTGGGCTACTGAGGAATAATTAAATCTCGAAAAAAGAAAAATTCGGTGCATCACTTGTAGAGTCGAACAGAGGTGAAAAATATTGTTACTTGCTGAAATCGACAATAAACATAGATTGTTTTCAACCTGTTACATAGTCTTGCAACTTTACTTCTCTGATCTAAAACATAAAATTTAAACTAATACATCACTGTACCATGCTTCGAGTCGTTTCTGTTCGTCTCTATTCAAAAGTGAATTAAATGACATCAATATCGTGGTTTTGTACAGGTTGTTAAAATTTCATAGCTTATATCATGGAATGTTTTTACTAAAACCACCACTGAACACCAGGGAGGACTACATAGTTGTTCCGACCCAATATGGAACTCCTCAGAAGTGGGCAACCAGATCGAGTGTAAGACAGTTATTCACCGTAGGCAATATATAGTCACTCAATATCGAAAATTGACTGAATTTAGACATATACACCATTGGATCCCGGCCCAGTGGTCTAGACGTTAAGCGTTTGTGCGCGAGACCCAGGGTTCTTTGTCCGAGTCACAGATGAATTGTGGGTGTGCACTGTCAAGGGGTCCCATACTAGGACTAAACATTTTTTCAGTGCTTTCTAGTTTTCAATGGTGATCTCAGATCAGTTCCTGATGTAAATTATTAAATGAAAATAATTTACGGATGAATGTAGCTAAATAACTATGATGTCACTTGATTTAAGGTCAACCTAATGACAACTGAGAAGTTAATAGATTCATAATCTCCTTACTTGTCTAGACATGTAATCTGTTATTCAAAAGTAAGTGGAATTAACCAACTGAAAGCAAATACCTAAAAAGAACTTCCCATCGCCTGATTTACGTTTTTCAATTCTCAAACACAAGATGATTGAAGAAGTCAAAATAAAATTCTCGACTTTTTTAACAGACTCATGTAGAGTAAACCCAGCTGATTCTCATTCCCTAAGATAACTTATGTTAACAGTCAGTTGTAATCCCGATAAATTCTGAAAGATTTTTGAAACCTACATATACAAATTATATCCAATGGTTGATCTTGAAAATTCTAAAAAACCTAACCTATGTTAACTTGACATTGTCGATAAAGTTTGGATCACCCACATACTGGTCTTCATTACTCAAGTGGATAAAGGCAAAGATCATGGAGTCATTTAGGCAGATCGAATTTTATTAAGAACTGAAATAATATATGCTCCAAAAGTCAATTAAAACATATCTATGCAGAAATAAATAATATATTTGTAATATCCCAATGAGTAGAAAAATTAGATTTTCTGACGTTTCGTGACTCAGTGTAAGCCACCAAATTTGGTTATTTGGTTATTTATTCTCTGAAGAAGTGGCTTACACTGAGTCACGAAACGTCAGAAAATCTAATTTTTCTACTCATTGGGATATTACAAATATATTATTTATTTATAACAATCTACCCAATGCTCAATTTATTCAAAATTATCAAATCAAGACTTGGTAATGATACCTATATCTATGCAGAGTTCTTTTTTATCGATCTCCGTCCTGTAACCGATGATTTTTTAGACAATTAGGGAATATGACTGTTTTAACCTGACGAGTAGTTCTTACACACAATCTACGCGTGAATTGACTGGATCAACATTACTCGCTACACCATTCTTTACCTCAATTTTAGTGATTAATCATAATATCAATGAAGGAAATAGTTTTTAACAGTTTCAAAATTTACATCTTGCTGGTTTGATTTGACATGCACAAATGAGAATCACACATCATGTTTGATGTCGTTTTTACTGGGTAACATTTAAAACGATCTTCCTCCTGGGCAGAGTGTAAGTCCATTGAATCCGTTGAACTGAAATATATCATAATAACCATATGGAAAAAGTTTTGTTTTTTCAATGAAATTTTTGAGAAATCTTACCAACTAGGAGGCTGAATTGTTTATTAGCATTCTAACGGATTTTTGTGTCAGCTATCATCATTTGTATGCATCAGGTAAAAGAATAATTTATCTATCTCAGTTAATAATAAATGTTGAAAATTTTCATCAGTAGTCTAAAGTTAACAACCTAGAACCCACAATACACACGATAATTATTCAGATAATAAAGTTAAGATTATTTCAATTTAAAAGTAGTTTTTCCCATGGGTTGCTCTCAGTTACGGAACTATCAGAGACAGACAGGGTGGTGAAACAATGTATTCGGGTTCTGTGAGATTATCATAATCCATGGTTGGGAATAATTGATGGCATCACTCATAATCAATCACAATAGCGGAAATGCACTGACCCTATGTGCTCTCTTAGATCTTTAGTTTGAAAACTAGTTCACAGTTTTTATTCCACGAGTGCATTCTGCCCTCTCGAGTTATAGTGTCTAGTAACAGGACTGGTTGAAGAAATTGTTTTTGAAAAGTCGGAAACTGATCGACAGTGATAGCCTTCGAACATATCAAGTATCAATAACAGAACCAGGAACCCGATTCCATCTTTAGCCCTTCTAGGGTTACTACCGTTCTGAAGTCCAGATAGGAGAGTAAAGATGGACACTGAGTCAGAAACCATATACCGCACAAAACCCTGCCAAAAACACAAATCAGTAGAAAAGATTTAAACCATTAAAACTCTGTCATTTGAGTTGAAAAATCTTCATTCAGAAGAATTATGACGCCTCATGATGAAAGCCGAGATTCTTCTGAAGCCACGAGGCTGACGTTGCCTCTGACAGTCAGAGCAACAATTAATATAGGTACATGTAATGTATGGACAGTATGAGAGACGGTGAGGACCAATCAAATAGCTGCGAAAATTAGGAGACACAGTTTGGTAGTGCTTGGAATAAGTGACACCCATTAGACCTAAGCTGGAAAGAACTGAAATGTGAGAGAGCTACATGATATAACTAAGAGACTAGAAGGGAAATATAATAAATTAGAGTGACCAGTCACGGGCAGGGGAGGTGAACTGGTCAAGATTATGAAATACAGCACAAAGAACACCAATTAAATCACACTTGATAGAGAAGCTCTGGAAGGTGGAAACTTTCATATACCTGGGCAGCAACACCGACAAACAAGGAGGGGCAGCAAAGTAAAAGCGCTATTCCTATCACCGAAGAGTATCTGGAACTCAAAACAGCTGTCAGTCAACATCAAAGTCACAATCTTCAATACGAATGTCAAAACAGTTCTAATATACGGAGACGAAACTATGAGAACTATTATAACCATTATTAAAAAGGTACAAGTATTTATAAACAATTGTCTACACAAGGTACTCAATGTTCGTTGACCGGATACCATCAGCAACAGCCTACTATGGGAGGGGATAAACCGTCTTTCTACTGAAGAGTATATTATGAAAAGACGCTGGAGGTGGGTAAGACATACATTGAGGAAATCATCAAACTGAATCACGAGGCAAGTTCTAACATGGAATTCTGAAGAGAAAAGGAAAAGAGGAAAATCAAGCAACATATTCCATTGGCTATAAGTGGCAGACACCAAAATAATGAATAGCAACTGGAAAAGATTGCCTAGGACAGATTTCGATGGAAAATCCTTGTAAGCGGCCTATGCTGCTCTATGAGGGGGGAACAGGACTAGGTAAGTGAGGAAGCTTCAGAATCTAGTAATAAATACTTTTAAATTCAGTTTATTCACGATATGATATAATCATGATCCAGTCCTTGGCTCGATAAAATCGAACACCACTGGTTTAACGAACTCTTTTCACCTCATTCTATGTGTAGGTAGTGAATATTTGTAAGCACACACTAAAAGTATATGTATCGAAAAATATTTCAGTATGTTTGAATTATTAAAAAAAAACGTTTAATTGATTTTTATCAGAAGGGGTTTTGCGGAGATTTTTGTAATTTTATAGAGTTGAGATCATGAATCATTTGAAGCTAGACCAATATGGAAAACCTGGAAGCACCGGAAGGCCGTTTCGTCCTACTATGGGACTCCTCCGCAGTGTGCATCCACGATCCCACCTCGCGAGATTCGAACCCAGGACCTACCAGTCTCGCGCCAGAGCACTTAACCGATAGGCTACTGAGCCGGCATCCAACGGTGTTAATGTCTAACTTCTAGTGAGAAGCAGTAACCAGTGGAGTTCAATCAGGTCTGTTGGGAGATATCAACTCACTGATGACATTGGTGAATGGTTGCTCAATTTCGTGGATTGGTCGAAGTTAGACATTAGCACCGTCACATGCCGATTCAGTGGTCTATCGTCTAAGTGCTCTGGCGCAAGACTGGTAGTTCCTGAGTTGGAATCCCGCGAGGCGGAATCGTGGTTGTGCACTGCTAAGGAGTCCCACAATAGGACGAAACGGTCATCCAGTGTTTCCAGGTTTTCCATGGTGGTCTAGCTTCAATTGACCCATGATCTCAACTCTGTTTAATTGATTTGTTTACAAATAACCATCAGTAGATGGTCATTTCCAAATTACAGATCTTTCTTTAAAACCAAGTAAACTTTATTTTTAGAAAATATTTCAAACTCTTCATTTACTATAACAAATGAGTTGATGAGTGTCTTTTCAAGACACCATAGAAACGTCAATATGATGAGTAATCAATTTGGCTGAAACACTAAATATGTACATAATGAGAAAACACAATATAATTTCCTTTCAATTATCTAAATTTAAATGGAAAAATTATTTAAAATGAAATAAATTATTTTCTATAAATTCTTTCAGTTATAATATTCACAAAATTTTTTTTTTAAAAAAACAAACAAAAACAAACAAACAAAATTAGAATTACCTTTAATAATCAAAATGTTTAATTGATTTTTAAGTAACCATTTTTATTAGTATCTAAATATGTATTTCAGTATGTATGTATGTATGTTTGTTTGTTTGTTTATTCGCATACATCCATAAGTGAATGCAATACAATACAATACAATGTATGTCATGTTAGAAACCATATCACTAATACCTTGTCTGTCTATCTATCTATCTATTTAACACGGTATAATTACTAACATGAAATATATTTATTACAAAGTGATAATGACCAAAAATGTATTCTATAAATGATTAAAACAAAACATATATTGTCTCTAATTCATCAAATGTAATTTTTAATAGATGTACTTCAACAATTAACTCATTTTTGTCATACATATATATGTATATTACATACATATGCCTTATATATGAATGTTAGTAAATCAGCACAATAACATTAATTTTAGGTAGAATAATACCAATTCTAGTTTGATTTTGTTAGTACTCTTATTACTACCTACTTACAATCTGTAATAGTTCAATATCGAAACATACACACACAAAAAAAATATTAATAATAGAATTTAACATACTTTATAAGATATAATGTTGATCAAAAGTTAGTGTGAAAATGTATCGGTATAGTGTAGTTAAGACATATTTTAGAAGATTTAATAACAAATTTTTTTTCTTCATTGAATGATCACATCAAAATGTATGCAAAAGAAGATTTTGATGAAATCGATAAGATGGGTAGTAAAAAGGATTTTGGGATTAAATTTAAGTGATTAGATGATTAGGTAAATGAGAGTATCAAAGGTTAAATACAATTAAAAATAGTCATATGTAAGGAATTAAGCTGATTTATTTGCAAAACAAAACTAGTTTAAAATTAAATTCGTATATATATAATGCTTAATTGCAGTTCAAAAGTGTTATGCCCCGATAACAATAGTGAATGGTAACTTTGGGATCCATTTATGGACCAATATTATGCATATAATTTTTATCGTATATTTGCTAAATACTTAAACTATTCATATTCATGTTCCTTTTATTGTGAACTTTATTTTGACCCTTAGACTATTATTGTACGATTTACCATTCTTGAGTTATACCCAGTCTATTAGTTACCGCTCCCCCTATTCACAGCCACATTTGGCTAACTCTTGTACAAATGTTATTTCCTATTTCATTGGTACGATGTGGTAAGTCTGTTTGGTATATAAACTCAGTTTGTTTGAAATACAATGATTCATATCACAGAGGCTGTTATTTGTGTTCTGGACTTAACTGGCTGGGCTAGGCAGAATCACGACCGATAAGCACTCTAGATTGCTCGAACGGTTTTCGTGTGTCATTGTTCCAATCGATAATTCGCTGCTCTCTGATTGACGGTCTTATCACGTCATACGTTAACAAAGGCATCCACTCGGCCACAAGTTATAACAAAAAGTTAAATCACTTGGTCAAACCTTGCTTCACGTCATCAAAATTTAAGTTGTCATATAGAATTGATGGCCTATGAGATCAATAGATAAACTTGAGTGTGATTTGTGTAATCCTTAAAGAAAATGATAAAAGGTGTTTTTGGAAAACTATCTCAAATACAGCTGTCAAAAATAAGAAACTTGCTAATGACCTTATCAGGATACATGTAAGCAATTTGACAAATATGATACGGTAAATACACTTAACCACTAAGGATTTATAATTACACATATCTTAAGTACACAGTTTTAGAACAGTTTTATGCTAAGATTAAAATAAAGTAATGTACGTGAAAATCAAGTCATAGAAACAATGTAATGTGTAATACTTAAGAAAAGTACATCAACCGAAATCAAGTAGCGAAATTATCTTGGAACCAATTGTCGACATTCACAAGAAAACAAAGCTGAATTGACAATGACAACTAACATTAATGATTAAAAAAATTCTCTAAGAACAACTAAAAAGATGACTAAGTTTACCTTCAGTCCTAAAATAAATGATTATAAACACTAAACATACCTGAAAATTAAAAAAAAACACGAAATATGAACGAGGTCTAAACATGTAACGATTAGAACATTTACCATATATGTGAATATCGCCCTTTTTCTGATCCAAAACAATGCCGTTAGTTAAAGGTTTTATTGATGATTGAGCATTATTTGACCGTCTATGAGACCAACCAGTTGGGCGCCAACCTAGAATAGACCGCAACTTAGAAGTTGATGAGTTGTGAAAAGGATCAATTGGTAATCGAATGCCCAATTTCTTTTGATATTGAACAAGGCCTGTCACATTTAATTGCTGCATGGGTAGAACATGAAGTTGAGCTTTATGAGAACTATCAACGACATATTGAAGCAGTTCTTTGCATACACTACAACCGCCTTGTGCAGCTAGCTTGATTAAACGATTTTGATTGTTTGGCAACCAAACTTTTAGGTTCAGTTCAGAGGCAAGACCTACTCGCAGATTAATAAACATAAGAAACAAAACTCGATGAAAAATAAAACAAAAATACGCAAATAATTATATATATATATATATATATATATATATATATATATATATATATATTACCGCGCAGAACCTATCAGCCAAACAGCTATTTTGTAGCATAACAAGCACAAAAGAAACGTACTTCATCAGTTACACGCACAAAAATCAGGGAACACATGGTGATGATGACTTTAGGGTATTACATCGATTTAATTGTTTATGTTAGGCACCCATTATGTTCGGGTATCGGTTACACCAAGGTAAGGTGAGTAGCTAAAAAAGCATCTTAATAATTATTAGACGGTAAGAAACGTTTGATACCGTGAGTTGTACGCAGAATCATAAGTCATCTATTTTGTACTCACAGACAATAGTAACCAGTGTCTGAATAACTCAAGTAAAGTTTACTAAAAGAACTTAATGTTAGTTGGAGGCAGTTAGCATAAAGACCTGAACCTAGGTCTCCTGAAGAAAGGCAGTCGTCAACATAAGTTTACATCATCCTTACAGAATTCATCAGCCCTAAAAAGTTTAAAAACCACATTGCTCAGTGCTACACCCAAAGGTATAACCACTAAGCAATCTGGACATTGACAAACCTACCGTCAGAAAATCTAATTTCCCTACTCATTTGGATATTACAAATATGTTGTTTTTATTTATTTATACGTAAAAGATGGAAATACGTATCAAACTTGTTGTAGAAAATTACGAAAACAGATGGACACTAGAATACGGACTGAGAATAGCACATTACTGTTTAATTTTGAAAGAAGGGCAAGTTATTAGCATTTGAAATGAAATTCAAACATTATCAAACATCCCTCTAAACAGACCATCCCCCTAGCTGTTTGAAATAGACGTACGAGATAACGCGATTAGGGTAGTTTAAAAAAACAATTTGTTACCGAATTCGAAGAGTTACAGTATTTGTTGAAGGTAGATTCTTTATTAAATGTTTATAAAACTACTTTTTTGATTTGTCGTAAGGTAAAGGGACAGATAGCGAATCTAACACTCTTCACGTCATTAAAAATGTGATTTCCTCTTTTAATGATATTGATATAAGCTTTTTTGATAGTCACCATTTTTAATTCTGAATGGATACCCGAATGGTTTGGTTGTGGATAAATTCTTTCTTAAAATCTTTATGAAATGCGCCAAATCAAGTCAATCAATAATCTACTGTGTCCCGAAACTATTACATAACAGCTAAGAAGTTATTTTTGAACTATAAGATGTGTACGGTACAAATAGAATAAGTGTATTAAGAAAAACACGTGAGGGAAAAATCTATATACACATAGTAGACCTTGATAAATTATTATCATTATCACAACTATGTACAATAGGAGAGAGCTATAGGGTGACCGCTAATGGTGTGCATAGTAATCTACTAACGAATATATATCGTAGTTATTTAATAAAATTGAAAAATAAACTCAACAGACATTGGACTGTCACGTAATATGTTAAGTTGTGATTTATGCACTTGAGGTTTAGATACTAAATTTCCACTTTAAACAATTGAAATATGTATCAATTTATTAAGTTATCTGTTGATCTGAGTCGTGTTAAATGGTGTAGACTTTATGGCTAAAGTGTTTACATGACACGATCCAAAATCTATTGCAGCGGGACAAATAAAATTTCTTTGAAATTTCGAGTGTTGATATAATCATACGCTTTTTTACAAACCCATGTCATTTCCTCTTTTCAAGCCACGCATTTTTACGTTCTTTTCTATTTTCCCTCCTATTATTCCGATGTCAGTCAGTCAGCTACAACGTAGGACCAGGCACATATATGCATCGGTCCAAGTTGCCATACCTCGTTAGCACAACAAGATCAACACCGGATTCATAGAAATAGTTAATTTAATGGTGGTAGTATATAAAAGATAGGTTGTATATAAAGATATAGTATAGGTAGGAAGAACGTTATGAAACAATTTTAATCTTAAGGTTTAAGGGAAGATAAAGAGTGTATACACCTACGCCATTGTGATCAATTCTGAGCCATGTCACCTAGAGTCTCCAACCATTGGTTACGATAGTCACACTGACCCCAACCGGGTAGTCTGCATCTGCCAACATGGCCCAGACTAGAAGTTAGTGACTTCAAGCACTGATGCCACGTTTTGGTTTGGCCGTTGTAGTGTAGTAAATTAGAACCATACACAATTGTGCTAAGCCCTATGCTATTGATGACTAATGACTGACAGACGATGAATTCACTGAATTTCAACCAAACAGTCAATTAATAGTATCCTTAAATCCTCACACAATAATAAAACTTCAGGAATAGAAAATGAGACTAGACATGACTAATGAACCTTAAACATTACAGTAATTTGAAATTTAAAAGAAATAAGAACCAAGTTGGTGGGAATACATCTAGTCTTTAACAGCAGTGTTCAGTAACTATCAAATTAACATTGATCATTCACAATTAAAGGGCGTCTTCAACTAAGAAATCAACCTGCCTAATACTTTCTCAATTTTTCATGGTTATTGGTCTTTTTTCTACTTGAAGGTAAGCAGTAGTTTATGATAGCTACAGCATGAGGTCGCAGATTCAAACCTAGCTCGGCCTACTTTGGCATTGGCAACCTCTCATAAAAGGTATAGAGGAAAGCCAAATACACGAACCAATACTTGATTCAGTTATTTTGGTAATCTTGAAAGTTTTAATACAACAGTGATTGACACAGATTCTTTTTAGAAGAATAAATCGGTACTATGAAAATGAAAATTTTTCTATTATTGTGGTTAATGAGAAAATTTATGTGATTTCTAATACACACAAAGCGCTTTTATTTCCAATGAAATGTTTAAGAGTAAATTGAAAGTAAGGACTTTCTAGAACTATTTGTAAATAAGAAGAAAAAGCAAATAAGATAATGTACCTTCCAAAACGTTCTGTTTAAAGTCAAAACTGCTACTCTTACTACAATTTGTACTACTTAAATGATATCATATATAAAATTACTAGGAATAAAGCGATTATTTTGTTGAAGAGATAAGGATTTTTGTTATGAAACAATAAGTGTTATTATCAATCTGTATTTCGTCATAATGATGGACATTTTACGTTTACCTTCAAATGGGATAAACTATAGGTTAAAGGTTCATTTAAAGACGAAAATCAACAATGGTGAATATCAGTGAAATATATCACTAAATATTTGGTATAGATAAAGAATTGATCAAAATTTGTAAAACTAAACAACGTTTGTAGCATTAAGACTTTCAATACCTGAGATGATATTAAATCGCTTTATTAACATTGTGAACACATCTTTATAAAACAAAAACATCCCAAAACCATTTCTGCATCAATTCAAAAGAAGCCTCACACAAACTCTGCAAAGAATCCCAAACAAGAAATCACATTTAAATGTGCACTGCACCAACTAATTCTAAAGTATCTATTCAAGTACACAAACGTAGCACACAAAGTAGTTTAATTGAATGATATAATTGATTTGCTTTTACATGAGTCATTTAGATCGTTGTTATCCATTGTTTAGAGTTCATCAGGAACTTTATGATGCCCCCAAATGCCCTGCTACGGCCGAGAGTGGGGAGAGTCCGCTCCCCCTCTCGAAATACTCTCACATGGCCACGCGTATAAAGCCTCTGCCAGGGAAGTCCTACTCACTGTCTTCTCGTACCACGGGTGTTGTTTACGAACTTGAGAGGATCAAAAGCGAATGTCCGGAGCTTTAGCCAGGTTGGTGGACACGGGAAGTCTACTTAGGGGAGTTGGAAAACGCTGATTCCAAACCAATGGTGCACATGGGCTCCAGGATACCGAGGGAACAAATGGAGTATGAATCAATCGTTGGTCATCGGCTACCATTGGACTGCATCTCCTTATGATGCTCCACTGCCTTGTGGATCAGACCCTTAGGTCAAAGGCTCCGGGTGTGGCCCCTTAAGAAAACCACCTGCTTCGGTTTGGGCACCTGGGCAGTATCACAGTCCTCACACAAATCAAATGAGATTTGTGCGGTGCATTTATATATGGTGCCCCTTTGTACCAATATTTATGTGGTTAAATAAAATAAAATAACTACTTCCAAAACGAAAGAGGCTATAGGCCTAAAGCAGTCTTATTTGAAAACGAAATTCTCCAAACAGTAAAAATGTGCAAGGAGAGAGAGGGGAAGCAATCAGTGATTAGCTAAGATCTATAACTCATTCATTGGACGGGAATAGGGAAAACAAGAGTAAAAGTTTCCGAAAAACGTTTTTTCTTTTAATTTACCAAGTGAATTCATCATGTAAGTACTAATGGATTCTACTCCCTATACAAACAATTGATTACTTTAGACAGAAAATTGTCTGACCGATTCAGCTAAATTTAAGACGAATATCATTCCAGATGTGCGATGTAATAAATTCCCGTGTCCCAGCAACGAACTAAAACACTTGCTGAGGTGCAAATAGTTCCAACTTAAGATTAATAAATAGTAAAAAAGAAAATTATAGTTTGTAGAGTTTTGCAATCTTTTTACGAGAAAACTACTAATAGCAACTTTTCGCTGATTGAAGCATTCGACTACCAGTCTATGAATTTTAGATCAGAGTCATTCATTTTAACTTTAAATAGGCATATGGTATGAATTTTTTTTGGTTGTCGTAAACCAGAACGATCAGTGAAAAGCAATGAAGGCAAAATAATCACCAACATTGAAGAACAACGAAACAGGTGGGTAGAACACTTCAAAGACCTCTTGAATCGACCAGCTCCATTGAGCCCACCCATCATCGAAGTAGCACCCACGGACTTCCCAATCAATGTTGGCCCACCAACAATCGAAGAGATCAGCATGGTCATCAGATAAATCCAGAGCGGTAAAATTACGGAAACAGACAATATTCCAGCAGAGGCACTGAAAGTAGACGTAACAGTAACTCTACATCAACTTCGTTGACTAGGAAAAAGCATTTGATAG